ATAAAAATGGTAAAGGGGATATCATTACCGATTCCACAGAAATACAAACATCAGAAATTATTACAAACAACTGTATGCAACATAAACCAGTAAATCTAGAAGAAATGGTTAAATTCCTGGAAACTTACACCCTTCCAAGTCTAAACCAGGAAGAAGCTGAATCCCTGAAGAGACCAATAACAAGGTCTGAAGTTGAGGCAGCAATTAAAGGCCTACCAATCAAAAAAAGTCAAGGTCCAGAGGGGTTCACAGCCAAATTTTACCAGACATACAATGAGGAGCTGGTACCATTCCTTCTGAAACTATTCCAAACAATACAAAAAGAGGGAAGAATCCCTCACCCATTTTATGAGACCAACATCATCCTGATAACAAAACCTGGCAGAGACACAACTAAAAACGAAAATTTCAGACCAATATCCATGATGATCATTGATGTAAAAATCTTCAATAAAATATAGGCAAACCAAATGCAACAGCACACCAAAAAGCTTATTCATCATCATCAAGTAGGCTTCATCCCAGGGATGCAAGGTTGGTTCAACATATGCAAATCTATAAACGTAATCCACCACATAAACAGAACCAAAGACGAAAACCACATGATTATCTCAATAGATGCAGAGAAGGCCTTTGACAAAATTCAACAAAGCTTTATGCTAAAAACTCTCAATAAACTAGGCATCAATGGAATGTATCTCAAAATAATAAGACCTCTTTATGACAAACCCACAGTTTTATCATACTGAATGGGCAAAAACTGGAAGCATTCCCTTTGAAATCTGGCACTAGACAAGGGTGCCCTCTCTCACCATTCCTATTCAACACAGTATTGGAAGTTCTAGCCACAGCAATCAGGCAAGAAAAAGAAATAAAGGGTATTCAATAAGGAAAAGAGGAAGTCAAATTGTCTCTATTTGCAGATGTCATGATTGTATATTTAGAAGACCCCATTGTCTCAGCTCAAAATCTCCTGAAGCTGATAAGCAACTTCAGCAAAGTCTGAGAATACAAAATCAGTGTGCAAAAATCACAAGCATTCCTATACATCAATAACAGACAGAGAGCCAAATCATGAGTGAATTCCCATTTATAACTGCCACAAAGAGAACAAAATGCCTAGGAATACAACTAACAAGGGATATGAAGGACCCCTTCAAGAAGAACTACAAACCACTGCTCAAGGAAATAACAGAGGACACAAATAGATGGGAAAACATTCCATGCTCATGGTTAAAAAGAATCAATATTGTGAAAATGGCCATATTACTCAAAGTAATTTATAGGGTTAATGCTATCCCCATCAAGCTACCACCGATCTTCTTTACAGAACTGGAAAAAACCACCTTAAACTTCATATGGAACCAAAAAGAGACTGCTTAGCCAGGACAATCCTAAGCAAAAAGAACAAAGCTGGAGGCATCATGCTACCTGACTTCAAACTATACTACAAGGCTACAGTAATCAAAACAGCATGGTACTGGTACCAAAACAGAGATATAGAACAATGGAACAGAACAGAGGCCTCGAAAGTAACACTACACACCTACAACCATCCAATCTTTGACAAACCTGAGAAAAGCAATGGGGAAAGGATTCCCTGTTTAATATATGGTTTTGGGAAAACTGGCTAGCCATGTGCAGAAAAGTGAAACTGGACTCATTCCTTACACCTTACACTAAAATTAACTCCAGATGGATTAAAGATTTAAACATAAGACCTAACACCATAAAATCCCTAGAAGAAAACCTAGGCAATTCCATTCAGGACATAAGCGTAGGCAAGGACTTCATGACTAAAACACCAAAAGCAATGGCAACAAAAGCCAAAATAGACAAATGGGATCTAATTAAACTTAAGAGCTTTTGCACAACAAAGAAACAATCATCAGAGTGAACTGGTAACCAACAGAATGGGAACAAATTTTTGCAAGCTACCAATCTGACAAAGGGCTAATATCCAGAATCTACAAAGAACTAAAACAGATTTACAAGAAAAAACAAACAAAACCATCAAAAAGTGGGCAAAAGGATATGAACAGGCACTTTTCAAAAGAAGACATCTATGTAGCCAACAAACATGAAAAAATGCTCATTGTCACTGGTCATTAGAGAAATGCAAATCGAAACCACAATGAGATACCATCTCATGCCAGTTAGAATGCAATCATTAAAAAATCTGGAGACAACAGATGCTGGAGAGGATGTGGAGAAATAGGAACACTTTTACACTGTTGGTGGGAGTGTAAATTAGTACAACCATTGTGGAAGACAGTGTGGTGATTCCTCAAGGATCTAGAACTAGAAATATCATTTGACCCAGCAATCCCATTACTGGATATATACCCAAAGGATTATAAGTTGTTCTATTATAAAGACACATGCACACATATGTTTACTGCAGCACTGTACACAATAGCAAAGACTTGGAACCAACACAAATGCCCACCAATGATGGACCAGATAAAGAATATGTGGCATATATACACCATGAAATACTATGCAGCCATAAAAAAGGATGAGTTCATGTCCTTTGCAGGGACATGGATGAAGCTGAAAATCATCATTCTCAACACACTGACACAAGAACAGAAAACCAAACACCAAATGTTCTCACTCGTAAGTGGGAGTTGAACAATGAGAACACATGAACACAGGGAGGGAGGGAAGGGAACATAACACACTGGGGTCTGTTAGGGGGTGGGGTGCTAGGGGAGGGATAGCAGGGGGTAGGGAGTTTGGGGAGAGATAATCTTAGGAGAAATACCTAACGTAGGTGACAGGGAGATGGAGGCAGCAAACCACCATGGCATTTGTATATCTATGTAACAATCCTGCAAGATCTGCACATATATCCCAAAACTTAAAGTATAATAAAAAACAAAAGAAGAAAAAAATAAAAATACTTTTAAAAAAATAGCTGGGTGTGGTGGCATGTGCCTGTAGTCCCAGCTACTCGGGAGGTTGAGGCAGGAGAATCACTTGAACCCAGAAGGTGGGAGGTTTCAGTGAGCTAAAATTGAGCCACTGCACTCCAACCTGGTGAAAGAGCGAGACTCCACCCAAAAAAAAAAAAAGAAAAGAAAAAGAAAGAACGAAAAGAAATAACATGTAGTAACAATTAGCTTTGGGAAATTACTTTATTACAGAAACAATTTACTAATTTGGTGATTAATAAAATCAAGACAAGTAAGCATGTTCAAAGGCTATCATTTTAGAAGTCAACAGGTTGTTTTTGGCCTTTAAATATGCTCTATCTTGCTTATAAGCCATTAGGCAGCAATAAGAAGTGAAATTGTCATTTTATAATTGTGCGTAAATCTCTAGTTTCTAAATTTCATAACAGTATTTAAACAAGAAATAATATGTTGATCAAAAGATCACAAAGCTACAGTAACTAAAACGACCTGGTGGTGGCACAGGAAAAGGCAAATGAATCAATGACAACAAATCGTCCAGAAATATACATCGTTACATTGGCAAATTTTAAACTAAAATTTAAAAAAAAACTTTTAAAATTGACTTCTTGATATACAATAACTGGACATATTTATGTGGTACATGTGATATTTTAAAACATGCACACAATGTATAATGATCAAATTAGGGTAATGGGAATATCCATTACCTTACAGATTTCTTTGTTCTGAAAATATTCCAAATATCTTAGAATTTAGTATCTGTTAAAATGATACTTCAAATCAGTGGAGAAAGAACGGACTAGGCAACCCTATCTCCTATTAGAACAAAAAGAAACTCCGGCAGTATTAAAAGTAGCAAAACTTAAAAAACTACTAAAAGAAAACTTTAGAAAGCGTATCTGTAATTCTTGAGGTGAAAAAAACCTTCCTGAACAAGAACCAAAACTCAGAAATCAGTAAGAAATAAAAAAGGATTGGCAAATTTTAGTTTAAAAAAAAACTTTCAAAATTGACTTCTTGATATACAATAATTGGACATATTTATGTGGTACATGTGATATTTTAAAACATGCACACAATGTATAATAATCAAATTAGGGTAATGGGAATATCCATTACCTTACAGATTTCTTTGTTCTGAAAATATTCCAAATCTTCTCTTTTAGCTATTTTGAAATATGCAATAAATTGTTAACAACAGTCACCCATGCTATCAAAGACTAGAATTTATACCCTCTCTCTAACTGTATTTTTGTACCAATTAACCAGTCTCTCTTCATCCTCTCCTGCCTGCTTCCTTTTAGCCTCTAGTAACCATCAATCTATACTCTATCTCCATGAGATCGATTTCTTCATATTCCACATATGAGTGAGAACATGCAATATTTGTCTTCCTGTGTCTGGCTTACTTCACTTAACACAATGTCCTCCAGGCTCATTAATGTTGCTGCAATGACAGAGTTTTATCCTTATTTATGGCTGAATGACATTCTACTGTGTATATATAGTACATTTTCTTTATTCACTCATAGGTTAGTGGACACTTAGATTGATTCATATCTTGGCTGTTAACAGTGCTGCCATAAACACAGAAGTGCAGATTCTTCTGTGACATACTGATTTCCTTGCTTTTGGATGTACACCTGGCTGTGGGATTGCTAGATCATATGGCAGTTCTGCTTTTAGTTTGGTAAAACGTCTTTTTAAAAGGGTACTGATATCAATCACATATGTGAAAAATAGATGAAAACAAATGTATCTATTAGTTTGTAAATATCTCTGCAGAGTAGAGACGAAATGGGAAGGGGAAACAGCATTCGGATCATAGAACATTTCTGTTGCTTTGAAATTTTTTTTTACAATGACTACGTACTACTTACAAAATGTTTTGAGTAAAATTTTTTTAAAGAAGTAAAATGTGAGAAAAAATTTAATCCTTAGAACATATCAATATACATACTGTCAAATATAAAAAGCTTCCAAATTATACAAATGAGAATGCTACGTTTTCCATTGTATTTAAGAATTATGTGATATTTAAAGTAGAATTAAAATCCTGATCAGTGGTAAATCTGGTACCTTGGCTTCTTCAAGTTCCTTGTTAGTGATATCCAATACAAAATTTTTCTCTTTTTGTAGTTGCTCTGCAAGTTGGTCAATTTTAATCAATTCTTTACAAAGACGCTCATTGTGGCTGGTTAAATCATCTACTTGACTGCTTACCACCTCCTTACTATCCAAGAGTTTCCTAACATATTCTTCCAAGCCATGATTTGTCTGTTTGAGATCTTCAATCTGTTATGATTAGAAAGAAAATAATCAGTATGTAAATGCAATTAGGAAGGAAGATTTGCTTCCCTGGCAAGGAAATGTAATTGTATACCTTTTTGTGCCTTATGAATTTCATACCATGTGAATGTTCTACCTTTTTGAAAAAAATATATTAAATATTTAAATTTTATAGCAATATCTTTCAATTTATAGTTTTTTTAAAAGAACTTAATTACTGTTGATTTTTAACCAGTCTATTAGAAAAATGCAATAAAGAAATTTCAATACTTTTGAAATTCGTTTTACTACCATTAAGAGTTCTTTATAATTAAATTTCCAATCATTGTTATTAAAATATATTAACTCTTTTAAGCCAGGCATGGTGACTCACACCTGTAATCCCAGCACTTTGGGAGGCCAAGGCGGGTGGATCACGAGGTCGGGAGTTCAAGACCAGCCTGGCCAAGATGGTAAAACCCCATCTCTACTAAAAATACAAAATTCAGCCTGGCATGTAATCTCAGCTATTCAGGAGGCTGAGGCAGGGAATTGACTGAACCCGGCAGGTGGAGGTTGCAGTGAACCGACATCGTGCCACTGCACTCCAGTGTGGGTGACAGAACAAGACTCTGTCTCAAAAAAAAAAAAAAAAAAGTCATGAATCATTTTTAAAATGCTAAAATGCCATTTATTGTATGCAGTAAATAACACATTGAGAGGCATAATTAAAGTTGTTATTTTAATACAGTATCTCCTATTCTCTTCTTCTCTTGGCCTTTTCCCATCTACTCTTAAAAATTCTTTGAAAACTCAAATTTGAGGTCATTCCTATAATCTTATGCTGTCTCATGACACTAAGAATAAAATTTTAAAATGCCATTTATGATCCCAACTTTACTTACCTGTCCGGCCTAACTTCCCACCACAAGACACACTATAAAAACAATCTCATTAAAAACTTATCTTAAGGGACTTACTGAAATGTACACATTTGAAATTGAAAGGTTATCACAGAACCCTCTGAGAATCTTCAAGGAAAACCCTGCTTAGGCTTAAATTTCAGGAAAATATATGGCTTTTTTGGATACCTGGTTTGTTCTTACCCTAATGCTCATTAATTATTTAACTAATGTTTCTATTTGTCTTTGCCTTTAGAAAGTTTAAAGATAAATCTAAGGCCCACCTCTAGTAACTTGTACCGAAACTATGTACAATGATGTTTGTTGTCATCGCAGGCCTTCACTGTTTCCTTGTTTTATCCTACCCTTTTTATTTCAGTTACCTTCTTTTAAAACAAACTAGAGGATGTGAAGCAAACGCATAAAGTCCAAGTTATGTTTTTCACCTTTGTTCACGGCTTCTCCTATGCCATGTTTCTCAGCAACAAGAGCACATTAAAAATGTCTGTTAACTCCCCAAGCATCAGGAGATGTTAAATGCTTCTCCTTTCCAGTATGTGTGCCCATAAAGCCTTTTATATAAGTTTATCTCAATATTTATAAGATGCATTAAAATCATTTATTTCCCTTTCCCTTCCACTAAATTCTAAACAACTTAAAGGACTGTCTCATTTATGTATCAACATATCACTCGTTTCTACATCCTTTATTATGTAGCTCACATAATCCTCAAATCTTTAAGCAAATAAACAAATTATCAGTAATATAAATGAACACTCCCCTCACTTCTCTCATGAAACTCTGCTTTTACTCAATTCCAAGACAAAGGAACTTTAGAAGAGGCGGTCTAGAGTAATACAAAAGATGTGGGCATTGGACTTCGGCAGAGTTAGGTTTAAATCCTGTTGTAGTGCTTTACCAGTTATGTAATTGGGCAATTTACCATATTTTCGTGATCCTAGGAAATGCATTTGACTCTAGGAAAAAAAAAAATGGGAGTCTCTCGAGTTTCTTCTGTTAAATGGACAGAATGCCTACAAATTGCAGAATTGTCATTAGACATTATATAAAAGCTTAAGTACAATTTCCAGTATAAGTACTCAGTATTTTTTTAAATTTTTAAGTAAGAGTCACAAGAAGCAAATGTAGTACACAGAAGTCTCATACATCCTTTACTCAGTTTCCACTGATAGTTGGGTCATAAACAACATAATACAGTATTGAACCCAGATACAGCATGTGCATGGTGTTCTATATCATTTTTCTCAAACTTGCAGATTTCTGTAACTACCACCTCAAGGTGCAGAACTGTTCCATTACCACAAGACTAATCTCTTGCTGCTCCTTTATGTTCTCATTCCCCACCTCAATTCTTAGCAACCAATGCATACAATTTTGTCATTTTGAGAATGTTATCTAAATAAAAGCATACAGCATGTAATCTTGTAAGATTTTTTTTTTTCACTCAGCACAACATCCTTTAGATCCACCCAAGTTGTTATTTGAATAGGTTCATTCCTATTTATCGCTGAAAAATACATGGAATGCCACAGTTTAGGTTGTTTACAGTTTGGGAATATAACAAAGCTGCTATGAACTGAGTAGGATGTAAGTTTTGAGTAGATATAAGTTTTCATTCCTCTGGAACAAATGCCCAGGAGTGCAACTGCTGGGTTATATGGTAAATGTATGCTTAGTCTTACCAAAAAGTGCCAAATTATTTTCCAACTGGCTATACCATTTCATATTCTTATGAAATGAATGGAATGAATGGGTGATCCAGTTTCTCCTCATCCTTACCAGCATTTGCTATTGTCACTATTTTTTTAGTCGTTCTTAGAACTGTATTATTTCATCATGGCCTTAATGTGCATTCCCCTGATGTTTATAGAGGCTGAACAACTTTTTCTATACCACGCATCCTTCTGTGAAGTATCTCTTAATGTCTTTTGCTCATTTTCTAATTGAATTTTTTTACTATTAAATTTTAAGCATTCTTCATTTGATACAAGATATGAATCCTTTAGCAAACGTATGGTTTGCAGCTTGTCTTTTCATCATCTTAGCAGGGTTTTCTACAAAGCAAAAACTTCAATTTTTTTTTTAAACAGAGTGTCACTTTTACCCAGGCTGGAGTGCAGTGGTGCAATCTCAGCTCACTGCAACCTCTGCCTCCCAGGTTCAAGTGATCCTCCCAACTCAGCCTCTTGAGTAGCTGGGACTACAGGCATGCACCACCATGCCTAGCTAATTTCTGTAATATTTAGTAGAGATGGGTCTTAAACTCCTGGACTCATGTGATCTACCCGCCTACCAAAGTGCATGGATTATAGCCATGAGCCACCACAGCCAGCCAAAAACTTCAATTTTGATTAAGTCCATATTACCAATTTCTCCTTTTATGAGTCATCCTTTTGTATCATACCTAAGAACCCTCCACCCAAGCCTAACATCCTGCAAATTTTCTCCTATGTTACCTCCTAAAAGTCTCAGTCTTAAGTTTTACATTTAAATCTGTGGTCCATTTAGTTAATTTTTTATGACATGTGAGGTTTAAGTGGAGGGTAACTGTTTTCCCTATATCTAATTGTTCCAACACGACTTGTTGAAGACTACCTTATAATGGGTGCGGTGGCTCACACCTGTAATCCTAGCACTTTGGGAGGCGAGGTGGGTAGATCATGAGGTCAGGAGATCGAGACCATCCTGGCCAACATGGTGAGACCCCATCTCTACTAAAATACAACAACAACAAAAAAATTAGTCAGACACGGTGACACATGCCTGTAGTCCCAGCTACTCGGGAGGCTGAGGCAGAAGAACTGCTTGAACCCAGGAGGCAGAGGTTGCAGTGAGCTGAGATCACACCACTGCACACCAGCCAGGCATCAGACCAACACTCTGTCTCAAAAAATAATTAATTAATTAAAAAAAAAAAAAAAACAGGCCGGGCACGGTGGCTCACACCTGTAATCCTAGTACTTTGGGAGGCCAAGGCGGGTGGATCACGAGGTCAAGAGATCAAGACCATCCTGGTCAACATGGTGAAACCCCGTCTCTACTAAAAATACAAAAAAAAATTAGCTGGGCATGGTGACGCGTGCCTGTAATCCCAGCTACTCAGGAGGCTGAGGCAGGAGAAATGCCTGATCCCAGGAGGCGGAGGTTGAGGTGAGCCGAGATCACGCCATTGCACTCCAGCCTGGGTAACAAGAGCGAAACTCCATCTCAAAAAAAAAAAAGAAAAAGAAAAAAGAAAAGACTATCTTCCATTGAACTGCTTCTTGATCTCTCTCAAAAAATCATTTGGCTGTACTTGTATAGGACTATCTGTAGATTCTCTCTTCGGTACCATTCATGCATGTATCTATCCCTCTATCAATATCACAGTCTTATTACTACAGTTTTAAGTGTTGAAATAATGGAGAGTTTTGTTTTCGCTGCCTTCCTGTGGATTACCCCAACATTTTTTTTAGAATTCTATGTTGATTTATAGTGTTTTTGTATGTAATTATTGATCTTTTTCTACTGGTTGTCCTAGGCATTACATTATATATACATAACTTATCATAGCCTATATCTTAACAGTTCCAGTGAAAGTACAGAAACTTTACCTCTTTTAGATCGCTTTACTCTCCCTATCAATAAAATAATTGTCTAAAATATTTCCTCTACATGCATTTAGAACCACATTCAACAATTAAATATAATTCTGAAATCTTAAAAAAAAATTTGGCTGGGAGTAGTGGCTCAAGTCTGTAATCTCAGGACTCTGGGAGGCTCAGGCAGGTGGATCACTTGAGTCTGGGAGTTCAAGACCAGCCTGGGAAACATGGCAAAACCCCATCTCTACAAAAAAATGCAAAAATCAGCCTGGGATGGTTGCATATGCCTGCAGTCCCAGCTACTTGAAAGGCTGAGGCAGGAGGACTGCTTGAGCCCAGGAGGCCAAGGCTGCAGTAAGCAGAGATCACACCACTGAACTACAGCAAGGATGATGAAGCAAGACCCTGTCTCCAAAAAAAAGAAAAAGAAAGAAAAAAAAAAAAAGAAAATCTATTTCATTTACCTATATTTTTTGCTCCATATATTGTTCTTCCTTCCTACTACTCCAAGATTACTTCTTTTATCATTTCCTTTTTGGTTAGAAAAATTCTTTTAGCTGGCAACACATTATCTTAGTTTTCCTTTATCTGAGAACGTCTTTATTTTCCCTTCACCCTTCAAGGATACTTTCTCTGGATATAAAATTCTGGGTTGACAGGTTTGTTTGTTTCTAGTACTTGAAAAATGTTGTGCCACTTCCTTACCTCCAATCTTTCAGATAAAAACATCTGCTGTTATTTGAATTGGTGTTCCTCTATAGACAATGCACGGTTTCTTTCAGGATTTTTTTTTTTATCTTACTTTTCAAAAGCCTAATTATGAAGTGTCTTGGCATGGATTTTTTTTTTTTTTTTTGGTGACTCCTGTTAGGTATTCTCTCACATTCTTTAATCTGCTTTATGTCTTTGTGCCAAATTTGTGGGATATTCAGCCATTATCTCTTCAAATATTTTTTCAGTACCACCTTCTCTCACTTTTTTGCAAACAGTTTTACCTGTCTCTGAAGCTCTATTCACATTTTTGTCAATCTATTTTCTCTCTGATGCTCACATCAGGTAATTATTTTCCTATTCTCATATTCATTGATTCATTTCTCTCCTCCATTCTATTGAGAGCACTGAGTTTTTATTCTCAGTTACTCCATTTTGAAAAGTTGTTCTGTCATAAAATATATATACATAATTTTCATTTTAAGTATGTAATTCAGTGGCATTAAGTATATTCACAATGTCGCACAACCATTACTACTATCTATTTAAAGAATTTTTTCATTCCCCTCAACCAAAAGAACTATACTGATTAAACAATAAGTCTGTCTCCTTGAATTTGCCTATTCTAGGTATAGGCAGAATCAAACATTAGTTGTCTTCCCATGTCTGGCTTATTGTACTTAGCATAATCTTCCTGAGGTTCATTCATTTTGCAGCATTTATCAGAAGTGATTCCTTTTTGAATCTGAATAATATTACACTATAAGCACATACCATAATTTGTTTATCCATTCATTTGTTGATAGACATTTGGGTTTTTTCTACCTCTTGGCTATTGTAAATAATGCTGCTATGAACATTTATATATAAGTATCTACTGGAGTCCATGTTTTCAATTCTTTAGGGTATATACCTGGGAATGGAATTGCTGATTCGTATGGTTAGTCTGTCTTTAAAATTCTAAGAAACCATCAAAAGATTTTTCACCATGGTGGCACCGTTTTACATTCCCATCAGCAATGCACAAGTTTTCCAGTTTCTTCACATCCTCACCAGCACTTGTTATTTTCCATTATAACAACCATCCTAATGGCAATGAAGTGGTATCTCATGGTTTTGATTTGCATTTCTAAATGGTTGGTGATGTTGAGCATCTTTTTCATGTATTTACTGACATTTGTATATCTTCTTTGGAGAAATGTCTGTTCAAGTTCTTTGCCCATTTTTTAATTACAGTTTTTTGGGGAAAAGGGGCTAGTTGTAGAAGTCCTTTGTATATTCTGGATATTAAGCCCTTTTCAGATAGGTAATTTGGAAACATTTGCTCTCATGTAGTTAATAGACTAAGTTTTTAGAGTAGTTTTAGGTTTACAAAAAATTGATTAGGAAGTACAGAGAGTTCCCACATACTTCCTCTCTCCCTCAACAAAGAGTTTCCTCTATTATTTACATTTTGTATTAATGTGGTATATGTGTTACAACTGATCAAACAATATTGTTACATTATTAATAACGAATGTCTATAGTTCACATTAGGATTCACTCTTGGTGTTATTCATTCTGTGAGTTTTGACATACATAGGGTCACATGTATCCACTATTAGTGTATCATACAGAATAGTTTCATTGCCCTAAACATCCTGTACTCTACCTAGTCATCCCCTCCCCCTCCAATTCCTGGTAACTACTGCTCTTTTTATGGTTTCTATAGTTGTATAACCTTCATGTAGTTGCAATCATACATTTCACAGCTTTTACAACTTTGCAACATGATTTCAAGGTTCCACTGTGTCTTTTCATGGCTACATTGCTCATTTTTAAAAGACACTGAATAGTACTCCATTGTATGGGTGTACAACAATTTGCTTATCCATTCACCTATTGAAGGACATCTTGGTTGCTTCTAAGTTTTTGGCAATTATAATAAAGTTGCTATAAACATTCATATGCTGATTTTTATGTGAACCAGTTATTTTTTAGTTCCAAAATTTCCATTTGATTCTTCCTTGTATCTCTTATTTTTTCCTGAGACGACTTTTCTTCATTCATTTCTAGCATGATCATAATTGCTTACAGAAGCATTTTTATGACTGCTTTAAAGTCCTTGCCAGATAATTGTAACGTCCATTCCATTTCAGTGTTGGCTTATCTTAACTGTCTTTTCTCAGATCTTCCTGATTCTTCTGATGACAATGTCTTCTTTAAAAATTGAGACCTGGCATTATAAGACTCTGGATCTTATGTTTTAGTAGACCTCCTGTGACACTGCTCCAACTAAAAAGGAGGGGGGGACGTTGGCTTATTTCTGGTAGGTCAAAGTAGAAGTCCAGTTCCTCTATTTGTCATCCGTTGATACCTGGAAAGGGTGGTGTTTCTAGATAGTGCTAAGCAAGAGCGTTCAGGCTCCCCACTGGGCCTCTGCCATTATCATCAGCCTGGGAGGAATCCCAGAGGCACCTCATTAATGTTCCCCATGTGTCTCCCACTGACAGCATGGGTGGTAAAAGTTCAGGTCTCTCTGACACCACCACAGCAAGAACGAGTACAATAAGGTGGGAGTAGATGGCCTGGCTTCTCATGTTATCTCTGCTGACATCATAGGGTTCAGGACCTCCTTATCCCCTGGTGAGGATAAAAGTCCTAGTTTCCCACTTAGCCTTCTCTGATATCACCCTGGTGTGGGACAAGTGAGGAGAGAAGAAAAGGGGTTGAGGCACAAGTGGGGCTCCTTGTTACAGTCTGTTAAAGTGGAAAGCCTAGGCACTTTATTTGGCCTGTGCTATAAAGAAATGTGAAATGGGGCTGTAGCTTCTTCTGCAGTATTTGTTCGGAGTAGATAGTTACTGTTTTAAAAGTTGTCTGTCGAGGCCAGGTGCAGTGGTTCCCACCAATAATCCCAACACTTTGGGAGGCCAAGGCAAGTGGATCGCCTGAGTTCAGAAGTTCAAGACCAGCCTGGCCAACATGGTGAAACCCCGTCTCTACTAAAAATACAAAAATCAGCCGGCCATGGTGGCATGCGCCTGTAATCCCAGCTACTCAGGAGGCTGAGGCAGGAGAATCACTTGAACCCAGGAGGCAGAGGTTGTAATGAGCTGAGATCATGCCACTATACTCCAGCCTGGCAACACTCTGTACCAAAAAAAAAAAAAAAAGTTGTCTGCCTTAATAGGCACTCCTATCCTGGTCCTTCACCTAGGGAGGGGATGGCTTTTCTTGGATCTTTCTTTTGTACCCATTGTTAATTCCAGTTGCCAGTCTCCACCTTTCAAAGTCTTAAATTGTTTTATACATAATGTTCAGAGTTTTTCACTGTACTTAGCAGGAGGACTAAGAAAAATTAAGTCTATTTTCCTGGAAAAAGAAATCTTTTTATTAATAGCTATACCACATGTCAGGCATTAGGAGAACAGGAACAATACTAAACTTGGAGTTCAGAGAATTGAGTTCAAATCCTAGCTAACATGGGAGTTTGGAGAAATCCTAGTTCTGTCACTTATTACTCAGGTGTCATAATTATTTAACCTCTTAGAACGTCAGCTTCCACATCTATAAATGGAGACAGCATCACTTTTTCACAAGTTGGGGATGATTAAGTAAAAATTGTGTACCTGAAAACATCTGACATAACACTTGGCACGTAGTTTGTACTCACTGACTCTGACTCATGTTTATCAAAATGGTTAAGATAAAAATTGAATGATTTTAGACCCATAACATTTAAATGAGCTCTGAATTAGTAGTTATTTATTCTCTATCTTCTTGTTTCAAAATAGGTTCCCATCCCAAACTGACTCAGGAAAACATGTTGTAACTAAATGTAACCTGTAATTTCAGTGTCCAGATGAATCTGTCTTGGTTTCTCGCTTCTTGTTCTAGCTGGAGAGTATTCTGGTAGTTTTCACCTTCAGAAACTGGAGCCCCTAGACCAAAATCATGTTCTTTGGTGGTAACCTAGTAGAAAGAATGGGAAATAATATGGAGGCATTTGATTTAAAACAGCTCTGTGATTTCCCACATCAGTAAATTTTGAAAATTAATAATATTCCTAGATAGGTTTTTAACTATTTCCCATCAGCTAAGAGGATTTCATCAAACTTTACCTTCTTAAAATTTATAAAGCTTTTTCTGTGTGTTGTCCAAATGGTACTGAACACGTTTTCAAAGACATTCTCTGCCCTATCCTTTTGGTAATCATGGTTCTACAGAAATATGGGTCAGTAGCAAATTAAGCAGTCTACCTCTAGAGGCTTGTGTTGTCCAAAATAGCTACCAGTTAGCTACATTTGCTGTTGCTACTCTATATAAGAAAAAAAAAAAAAAAAAAAATCACAAAATTTCCCTAACGTATAAATAATTTCTAGAAATAAAAAAGATAAAGAAATACTCTAATAGGAAAATTGGCAAAGAATGTGAACATTTACAGAAATGGCTCTTAAATATATTTTAAGATATTCAATCTCAATCTCTAGTGACATAAATTATAATAACACTGAGATACCCCCTTTTAACCATCACACGGCAAAGATCAGTAAGTTGCATACCTAACATAGCATCCTTATGCATCACCAGTGCATAAATTGATACAATATTTATGGAGAACAATTATAAAAAAATCTATCAACATGACAAATGCACATAGCTTCTGTTGAAATAATCTCATTTCTAGGAATTTATACTACAGATATATATACAAACACATATGCAAAATAACAAATGTTAGAGACTTTTCACTTTCGCGTACTACACATACTACTCTGCATCATGCTGTTTTACTTGACAACCTATCTTAGAGATTGTGTAACTTAGGGAAATAATTTTTTCTTTCCTTAAATCAAGGCTATCATGTTAAGAAAATTTGTTATGAGCATCTTAGATCTTTCCTCAAAACACAGCTTTTGTTCTCCAAAGTCCCACCTAGGGAATTACAGAATCAGGATCTCCCCAGTCACTGACCTTATGTTGCACTCTGTGTAACCCAGCACCTAAACAGGTGGGTACATTTATTTCCTTTTTTTTCTCTTCCCTAAATAAGACCCAACTGTTCATTGCAGCAGTTACTGCCCCACCTGGAACCTCAGCATTAGATCTCACAGAATATTTCAAATTATGAAGCATTTAAACCCCTAGCAGCTGGGGTTTAAATTCTTCATAATTACCTAACTACCATTTCTTACATAATTTCTGTTGAAAAATGTGTTCCTAGTTAAAATCATTTGATTTAGAATAACAGAGTGAAATGACTCCTTACTAGAGCAGTACTTTCCAATTCTTATTGAATGTTAAGAATCATCTGGGAATGCTGTGTGAATGCAGATTCTGAGATTCGACATTTCTAAAAAGCTGCTTGGAGATTCCTATTTGGTTAGTACAGAGACTACATGCTGAATCATGCTTTGCTGTAAATTCTGATTTATTTAAATAGCAAGAATCTATTTAATTAAAGTCTAAACTCATTCAGAGTACTTTTGTAATTTTGTCCCTTCCTACTTGTCCAAACTTATCTCTTACTGGACACCTCCAAGAACCCCTCTATGAAAAACAAACTATGCAACACATTTTTTTAAGAGGGTCTCACTCTGTCACCCAGGTTGCCATAATCACATTACACTGCAGCCTCGACCTCCCAGGCTCAAGCAATCCTCCCACCTTAGCCTCCCAAATAGCTGGAACCACAGGCATGTCCCACCATAATTGGCTAATTGTTTTAAATTTTGTAGAAACAGGGTCTCCATATGTTGCCCTGGCTGGTCTTGAACTCTTGGGCTCAAGAGATCCTCCCACCTAGGTCTCCCTGGGATTACAGGCATGAGCCACCACACCCAGCCAACACATTATTAACACATATACTCAAAAGTATTTTATCATCTGCTCAATAAGCCCTCAGTCTTTTCTCCATTTAACTTAAGACATTCCCAAGGCTCAGTTTGAATTCCACATTCTCTAGGTTTTCTGTCTTCTCCATTGCATAATGATCATGCCTTCACTGATATTCATATACAGAGAACAATTCATGTTCTGAATTTTTCTGGATGTCTTCCTCACACATTTATCAGAATCTTAAGAACAAGCAATGTCCAAAAACTCTCTATATCTTCATTAAACCTGCAGTTATTTATGTAATAAAAAGTGTCAATAAAAATTTGTTGAGATTGGTAATAAAGCAGTGTGATAAAGCAGAAAAAAATTAAACTTTCTTCCTTCTCAATGGTAAACCGAATAAAGTGAGGCTTTTGCAAAATTACCTATCAGGCCTGGCTAGGAACTGAAAATAGAGAGAGACCATGAGTCCACCTGACAATGCTAAGCAATCATGTTGGAGTTGCTACCCTCCTTCTACCAGCTTTGGAGGCAGTATTACTGGGGGAAAGAAACATCAGTGTTATCTAAAATTCCTATGCCTAGCCTGCCAGTTTCGCCACCTCAGGCCACCTGAATATCTTCCACCTTGCTGCAATCTCTAACATCAATTAGAATGAAACCTGTGTTCCTATATAGTTCTTAGAGAAGGCGAGTAAAAGAACTTTCCTTTTTTAAAAAATTATTTTTAATTTACTATTTTTTATTTTTTTCAAGGTAAAGTCTAAAATAAGGAAGAACCTTCCTTCTCAATTAGGAAGTCACACAGCAGAGTGGTTAACAGCATGTATTTTGGCATCAGCCCACCTACATTCATTATCCTGGTTCTGCCACATCTTAGCTGCGTGACGTTGGGTGACCTGGTTACTTTTCTACGGCTTCCTCATTTATAAAACAGGGATGATAGTAACTGTCTGCACCACAGAGTTATATAAGGATTAGATGAACTAATATATGTTTTAACTTTAGCACTTAGAATGGTGCTTGGCACATTATAAGCACTACATATATTATTTACTATTATTACTAATTCCTCTCACTGAGTCAACATATTTAATTGGCTATCAAGTCCTACTGATCTTTTCAATTCTCTTAGCTACATTTCTTCCATCCCTACTATCACTGTTTTAGCTCATGTTTTCAGACTGTAGCAGTCACATGTATTCACTTTACAAGTAAACTTATAAATAGCTAGAATAAAAATAAACCAGATACATGTTTCTGGGTATAAAAAGGTGTAAAACAAATAGAACTCTACAATTTCAACCCTAAATGAATCTAGGAAAGTCCACAACAAATCAGAAATCACAGCACAGCATGATTACTGCTACATCAGAGTAATACATATAGATGCTAAGGTAACACTGAGAAAGAGGCTACAAAAAAAGTATTTCTGACTTCAACTTCTTCAAAAAAGACTTAGGATCTACTCCCCAGAATTATGAACATATCCTTACTGGAGCACTAAACACATTATATTACTTTTATGGGATGTCCACGTCATGGCTACTTTAACATGTCTAAAACAGACTTCTTAATTTCCCCACCTGCACCTTTGATCTCTATTCTGCCTCCACTGTGTTCCTTCCCTGCCTTCATCATGTCAAATGGCACCATCTTTTGTGTAGGCACTTGCCCCAGGTAAAAAGCTGAGGAGTTGTTTTTGAGTTTTCTCTTTCCCTGATTCCCATCTAATTGATTAGCAAATCTTGTTGGTTCTACCTCCAAATATATATCCTAAATCCATCAACTTCTCTATATTTTTGTTATCACCTCCCTAGTCCAAGTCACCATCATTTCCCACCTAGAATACTGCAACCATTCCCTACTGTCTTTCTGCTTCTACTATTGCTCCCTACAACCTATTCTCCACACTGAAATCAAATCAATCATTTCAAAATAATGAATCCTGTGGGAGTGGAGAAGAAAAGAGAGGGAAGAAAACAAACAAACAAAAAACGAAATTACAGTAAGATGATACTGGCTCAAAAATATGCCAGCGGCTTCCCACTGCAATTAAGAATAAAATCCAAACTTTGCAAGGCTTTACATGATTTGGCCCTTGTCTTCACTGTAAAGATCTAGTACTCCCTTCTTTGTTCACCCACTAACTTTTTCTTTCTGTTCCTCTAATGTGCTGCTTCAGTCTGAATGTCTGTGTCCTCAAAAAATTCTTAAGTTGAAGTCCTATCCCCTAAAGTGATCACATTAAGAGGCACAGTCTTGACCGGGCATGGTGGCTTACACCTATAATCCCAGAACTGTGGGAGGCCAAGGTGGGTGGATCACCTGAGGTCAGGAGTTTGAGACTAGCCTGGCCAACATGGTGAAACACCCCCTCTACTAAAAATACAAAAATTAGCTGGGCACGGTGGTGGGCCTATAATCCCAGCTACTTGGAAGGCTGAGACAGGAGAACAGCTTGAGCCCAGGAGGCAAAGGTTGCAGCGAGCCGAGATCACGCCACTGCACTCCAGCCTGGGAGACAGAGTGAAACTCCATCCCCGCCCCCCCCCAAAAAAAAAAAAACAGAGGCATAGTCTTTAGAAGGTGATTAGGTCATGATGAGTTGCCCGTATATTATAGTACCCAGAAAGCTTCCTCACCCCTTCTAATGTATGAGGACACAGTCTGAAAGTATCATCTATGAACAAAAACACAGGCCCTCACCAGACACTGATTCTACTGGCAACTTACTTTAGAATTCCTAGTCTTCAGAACTATAAGAATTAAATTAATGTTGCTTATATATTTCACTATAGCACCCTGAATGGACTAAGATATGTGCCAATAGCATTCGACTTCAAGTCCCCTGCTCTTGCTTTCCCTCTCTCAGGAACCCTTTTTACCCAGCCCTTCACATGGCTATCTTCAACTCTTTGGCTGAAATGTCAGGTCTTCCCTGACTTCTTACCTAAAGTAGCCTCTATCCCAGTCACTCTCTCAAATAAGTGATAAGCTATTTGCACTTATCACTTCTTGAAATGATATCATTTATTTGCTCACTTGTTTACTGTCTGGCTCCCCCTACTGGCATATAAAATTCAAGAGCCCTAGGCTTTTTGTCTTTTGTTATATCCCTATTGCTTTAAAAGTGCCCAGCACAAAGTTGAAACTCAGTAAAACATTTCCAAAATAAATTTTAATGATTCAAACAAAGCAGTTTCAATGATGGGTGAAAACAAGTCTGAAGAGGACTAATTTATTAATAAATGTAAACTTCTTTTAGGAAGCATGATTGTGAGAGGAAGACAGGTATAGCAAAAGGTGGAAGACGACCAAGGTTACGGAAAGGTCATTACAAAAGGAGAAAAACTTGCTCCTTAAATCTCTTTACATAAGGATCCTCTTTCAGAATTAAAGATGTATTGCCCTGAGACAAGAAAAAGCAAGGATACATGAACATTTAGACACTCGTAATCTCAATAATCTCAGCACCTTGGGAGGCCAAGGCCAGAGAATCACTTGAGCCCAGGAATTTGAGACCAGCCTGGACAACATAGTGAGTCCCTGTCTCCACAAAAAATGAAAATGAAATTAGCCAGGCCTAGTGGCACCCGCCTGTGGTCCCAGCTACTTGGGAGGCTGAGGTAGGAGAATAACTTGAGCCCAGGAGATCAAGGTTGCAGTGAGTCATAATCGCACCACTGCACTCCAGCCTGGGCAACAGAGTGAGATATTTTGGGAAACAATCAGCAAACTAAATACTGCAAGCAACAATAAAGATTAACCTTAACAAAATGTTGAGTAAAGAAGCAAGAGGTAAATGAATACTTAGTACAAATTCTATTTAGAGGAAGTTCAAAAACAAGCCAAACTATAATGTGCATGTTCACATACAATGATGTGAAACATTAAGGAAAATCAAGGAAGTGGCTATCTCTGGGGAGAGAAAGGAACATGTAATCTGAAAAGGTGATATACAGTAATACCTCTAACTGCCTCGGTGTACGGAGGACTTCAAAACCAAATCGTCCTAAACAAACGAGTCTAAGCAACTGAAAAAGAAGACAGAAAAGAGCCCCCAGTGAATCTCTACACCTGATTATATTCTGGGCTACAAGCAGTGATTTTTCTTCAGCAGGTAAACAATGCGTGAAATATTTTGGAAGCTGCCATTAAATAATGCCGAAGCTTATTATTGAAAATTAATATTTCATTAATATACCTTCCTAGTTATCACTAATTAAGACTGAAGAGTTTGGCTAATTAATCAATTAAAATACAAACAAGAATTTGTTTTATCCTGGAGGCAGATTCGAAAGAGACATTCTACTTACATATTTATAGCTAACCTGTTTTTTTCCTACTTACAAACCGATTGTTATTCTATTTATGTCCTCACACGTAAACAAAGCATATTTGAAATGCTGAAAACCAGTAGAGAACATTTTAAACAAGGAAATTTCCTAGGATAAAAGGGACTGGAATGGAAGAAGGAAAACGCTGGGACACTGTCATCTATGCAAACTTTCCTGAAGCCTCGGAAAAAAAATGTGAAAAAATGTACTTATTTCTGTGAGTTTTTAGGTATCAAGTCCATGATCATCTAGTTATTCAATTTAAGTCTCAAATATGTTTTCAACAAAAGCCAGCTTTCCCTGCCTTTACTGTGTACAACTCTTGCTGAAATTTATCTGAGATTTCCATGCAAATGCCTACGTAATCTCGGTCTTTTACCACCCCAAGTCTAGAAATAGGCTCAGAAGTGAGCGATTGGGAGTCAGGTTTGACTCCCAAATCTATGACTGCCAAATTCCTCGCTCCACCAGAGCGTTTCTAAATAAAACAGTACCCCCAACAATCAAGCGGAAAGCTGCGGCAGGACGCAAAGCGGTGACCATAGGAACTGGGCTTCAGCCTAACTTCCCAAGAAACAGGGACAACGCGTGCTGCTGAGCTTCCGGCCCGCAGCAGTGCCCGCTGCCGCCCCTCACAGCGGCTCCCCCGGCTCCTGCCCACCTCCTCCCGCCACGGCCCAGCACCCGCCACTCCCGCCCGCTTGCAGCTGGCTTTTCGGAGACCTTCCGGAGCAGGAGCAGCTCTCCCCACCCTGCGTATCTCCGCAGCTTCTACCTGGAGCTCCGGGTCCCTCCCCGAGCTCCTTGGCCCGATGTCCTCCCCAGAGCTCATCCCCGCGACTGCCACCTCTCGGCCTCCGCCGGGGATACGAGAACCGCCCCATCTCCATCCTCCGCCCCTTTTTCCTCCCTTCCCACCCCCAAATCGTCCTGGCCCCGCCCCAGCGGAGTCGGAGGAAAGAGGGAGCCTGCGCGAAGGAGGCGGGGGCGGTTAGCGCCATCCGGCGCCGCCGTGGCCCCGCCCTCACGATCTGTACCGAGTGGGGCTCGTCTTCTACCTCCCCGGCGCCCCAGCTTTGCTTCCGTCCCACGCGCCCCTAGGGTCCGTGCGCACGCGTACCTGGCTCGACCTTCCCTCTCGCGCTGGCTACAAGCCGTGTGCGCGCACCTACGCACAGAGCGACGCGTACTTCCACCTGCCTGCCTTACAAGGCGCCTTGGAGGGGCTTCTTCCTGGCCTGTTCGCGCCGCGCAGGCGCACGCCCACGCAGCGCCTAGACGCCCGACCCGAGCGTTCCGTCTCCTAGTAACCAGCCGCGAGCCCCCTTTTCCAAGATTCATTTTTTATTTCCTGCCCGTGGGGGCCGCACCTGGATAAAACGCGCATGCGCAAGACTGTCTGTCGCCGCGCCTCCTACCTGCAGCTTGGAACACCTTCGCGGCGGTGGCTTTGTGCCACTTTTCTCAGGGCTTGGACGTCATTCTGGACTCACGTTCAGTGAACCGGTTACTCCCAGAGTTGCAGCCAGGGCCCATTTTGAGGGAGCCTTCCAGGTCCAGTCCTCCCGCTGCAGCCTGCTGGTAGCAAGCCGACCTGTCCGGGTGAGCACGGGCAGACTGCAATTAGGGGAGCCTGGGGACCACCGTCTCAGTCAGCTCTGCTCGATCTGGGCTGAATCAGAAAGTGGCAGAACTAGCAAAGAAAGTCCAGATTCCTGACCGATATTCCTTTTCCACATGCCAGTCCTTTTCCAAATTCCCTTACCTTAAAGTGGACAAATGAGCTTTTTGGTGAAAAAGAATGAGGGCTGCATTCTACCATTTTTTTGGAGCCCAGCATGGAAAAAGTCTTCTTAATATCTACCATATCCCTTCTTAAATAACCCAAGAGTTTTTGGATGATAATGGTGACTTTATCACCTTTTCCTACAGATGACGTAGATACTGGGTTTTTACAGCAATTCTCTGATGACCTTGATATGGTAGAACGCTGTGTATTTCAAAAGTAAGCTCTCATTTGAGGAGACTAACAATTCCTGTTTTTGCCAGGTGAGTACTCATTTTTTTTTCCCCGACAAGATATTAGCAGGGATAAACAACTTTTATGTTAGAACAAATTTAGTCATAAAAATACATTTAATATAAGTGCTTTGTTTTTTAATCTCTCTTCATCGTTATTATATAGTCATATATTTTGTCACATTTATTTTCAGATATCATATACTTTGTAAGTTTAATTAGATACCAAAAAAATTAAGTGTCCCTGTTACTTTAGATTAAGAGGTTGGAGGACACAAGGAACACATATCCTCTGAAACATTATTTTTAGTTGGGAAAATAACAAACTGAGAAGTTGCGTTACAGGGAATAACATATCTCATTTCCTCTTCAGATAGTAAGATTATTTTGAATACATTATCTAGGATTATTAAAAACAAATAGGAAAGAATGTTCTAAGTTTAAAACTATCAGTTGGAGTTGAAGACTTGGGGAGGTGGGGAGATTATTAATATAGGAAGTAGGAAAGTACTTCCCTTACGGAAAGAATAAGAAAATTTTAAGCACTTATGTATGCCACCTAGATGGTACTGAAGATTCTTTGGAATATAGGGAAATGATCATTTTAAGGTGAAGAGGGTGAAAAGACCTTCCTTTTTTTCCTACCAGGAACTGTTGACTTTCTGCCCTAACCAGAGAAAGTAAAAATTTCCTTCTCTCTATGGCACGGTAGCTCATGCCTATAATCTTAGCACTTTGGGAGACCTGAGGTCGGGAGTTCAAAACCAGCCTGGCCAACATGGTGAAAGCCCATCTCTACTTAAAATACAGAAATTGGGCGGGGCGCGATGGCTCAAGCCTGTAATCCCAGCACTTTGGGAGGCCGAGGCGGGTGGATCACGAGGTCAAGAGATCGAGACCATCCTGGTTAACATGGTGAAACCACGTCTCTACTAAAAATACAAAAAATTAGCTGGGCATGGTGGCGCGTGCCTGTAGTCCTAGCTACTCAGGAGGCTGAGGCAGGAAAATTGCCTGAACCCAGGAGGCGGAGGTTGCGGTGAGCCGAGATCGCGCCATTGCACTCCAGCCTGGGTAACAAGAGCGAAACTCCGTCCCCCCCGCCCAAAAAAAAAAAAATTAGCCGGGTGCTACTGGGAAGTAATCCTAGCTACTGGGAAGGCGGAGGCAGAGAATCCCTTGAATGTGGGACGCGGAAGTTGCAGTGAGCCGAGATCACGCCACTGTTTATATTGTTTTCATTGAATAAATTCTCAATTATGAGTAATCAAACTCACCTGTTTTCCCCCCTTATTGTTTAAGCTTTTTAGGTCTTGTTCAAGAAATCCTTCTTCACCCCAAGGTAACAGATACTGTCCTTCATTTTCTTCTATTGCATTTACAGTTCTGCCATTCACATTTAGGTCTTAAATGCATTTGCACTCTACTTCTGTATTTAAGATACTGCTTTACTTTTGTCTGCATAGTGAGCCAATGTTCACAATACTATCATACTAAACTTAGTCTGTTCTATCTCCTTTGCCTTATAGTGCCACCTGTAACATATGTGAAGTTCCTGAAATACCTAAGTCCAAGTTGCAATTCTGTCATATTCTACTGATAATTTGTTCCTGTACCTGTACAAGGTTATTTTTATTACTTTCATTTGCAGCATATTTTAAAAAAAATTTTTTTCTGATAGAGACAAGGTCTCCCTATGTTGCCCAGGCTGGTCTCAAACTGCTGGACTCAAGAGATCCTCCCAACTTGGCCTCCCACGGTGCTGAAATTACAGGTGTAAGCCATTGTGCCCAGCTGTGTAGCATATCTTTTTTTGTTTTTTTCATTTCAGTAGCACAGAAGCATATCTTAATATCTAGTAAAGAAAGCCTCTTTGTTCTTTTTGTCCAGATTGATTTGTCTCCGTATGTACCTTTATTGTTTTATATATATATATATATTCCAGATTTCTTCTTGAGTGGCAACCTTAATGCCAAAGAAGGCCCAAGAGACTTGTTCACCCTTCATGTCCTCAACTCTGAGGAAGTAAAGGTGGGACTCACAGGGCGCCAAGTCTCCTTATTGTATTTTGTTCCTCCTCAGTCCCTTTATCCAAATGAAGTTTAATATGCAAATTGAGGCCAGGCGCGGTGGCTCAAGCCTGTAATCCCAGCACTTTGGGAGGCCGAGGCTGGTGGATCACGAGGTCAAGAGATCGAGACCATCCTGGTCAACATGGTGAAACCCCGTCTCTACTAAAAATACAAAAAATTAGCTGGGCATGGTGGCATGTGCCTGTAGTCCCAGCTACTCGGGAGGCTGAGGCAGGAGAATTGCCTGAGCCCAGGAGGCGGAGGTTGCGGTGAGCCAAGATTGTGCCATTGCACTCCAGCCTGGGTAACAAGAGCGAAACTCCGTCTCAAAAAAAAAAAAAAAAAAATATGCAAATTGATAATTATGTAAGTTATTATTTTACATTTGCTGATTTTCAAATGCAATGTTTAATAGAGTTTTGTTGTGTAAAAACTTTTTTCAATTTTGTTTTTCAAAAAAGTTTTAAACCTACAGAAATGTAATAAGGTAGATCAAGCTCTAATTACTAACTGAACATTTCTAAAGAATCATCTAAATAATAGGTAGAACCATTTTTTTATGCTTTACATCCTAGATTTATCAGTTGTTAGCATTTTGCATATTTTAACTCTCTTTCTGCATCTATCTAGCTACCTGTGTATCTACCTGTCTATTGCTAAACAATTTGAGGGCATATTGCAGATATGATTTTTTCACCCCTATTTCAGTATGTATTTCCTAAGAACAAGGACATTGACTTATATAACCCCAATACAATTATCATATTCAAGGCATTTATCACATTGATCCAATATTAGTATCTAATAAATCTCCCATAGCCAAATGTTCCAGTTATCAAAGTAGTGATCTTTGTAGTACATTCCATCCCCTTCCCAATTCAAGAGCATTGGTTGCATTTGAAATCATCTATCTTTAGCCTCCTTTAATCTGAAACAGTTGCTCAGCCTCCCTGTGTCTTTCATAACATTGACATTTTTAGGTAGAAGCTATTTGTTTCATAGAAGATGCCTCTGTTTGGGTTTCTCTGATTGTTTCCTCATGTTTAGATTCAAGTTATGCACTGGACAGTGGTAGTTCCTTTCTAACAAAAAGAGAAACCAAAGAATAGAATAAACTCAATTTTATTAATTTGAAGGCAGTATTAGATATTCCTTTGATGAGGAAGAAAAATTCATCTTCAGGTTCCAAATCTAAGAAACAAGTATACCCATATTTCAGAATTTCATCAGAGATCTTAAAAAATTTAGCTACATTGTATTTGATTCCCAGAAAGCCAAATATATACTATCTACCTAATTGCTATATTAACATTTGAGTAACTACTATATTTAGGCTACTACAGTAGGCCTAGGAAGCTGTTTTATTACAAACACTGATATTCAATCACAAATATGGATAAACAGGGTTTCAAGATGATTCTTTAGAAATGGTCAGTAAGTAATTAGAGCTTGATGAGTATGAATTGTAAATTACCAAAGATACACAGTAGCTAAATATGAAAGACATAACACATTCTAAAATGTGGGTGAGGTTGGGTGCGGTGGCTGACACCTATAATCCTAACACTTTGGGAGCCTGAATCACCTGAGGTCAGGAGTTCGAGACCAGCCTGGCCAACATGGCGAAACCCTGTCTCTACTAAAAATACAAAAATTAGCTGAGCATGACCGCACGCATCTGTAATTCCAGCTGCTTGAGAGGCTGAGGCAGGAGAATTGCTTGAACCTGGGGTACAGAGGTTGCAGTGAGCTGAGATTGCGTCACTGCACTCTAGCCTGGGCAACAGAGCTAGACCTTGTCTCAAAAAAAAAGCAAACATTAGCAGGGCATGGTGGCAGGCATCTATTCCAGCTACTCCAGAAGCTGAGGCAAGAGAATCACTTGAATCTGGAGGGCAGAGGTTGCAGTCAGCCGAGATCGCGGCACGTCACACCCCCCTGGGCGAAAAGAGCAAAACTCTGTCTCAAAAAAAAAAATAGTGGGTGAGTGCTTTCATTCAAAGCTGTGGAATCTGCTCCAGATCTCAGGTTGCTACTAGAGCATCCTGGGTAGATCACTCTTCTCCAGTAAGCCCTGGGCTTTCCCTAACCTGTACTGCGCAAGAAGCCTGTCCCTTCTGCTATCCTGGTCAACTCTGCCTACCAAATTCCTGCCAATCTTTGAAAGCACAACCCTGACCTAGGCTCCCTTCCTTTGGGAAACTTCCCAAGGCCTCCCTCCATGCTGTATGATCATCTCTCTTAACAGACTGGGCATTCTTAATCACAAGTATCTTTTTCTTCTTTTTCTTTTTTTTTTTTTTTTTTTGAGACAGAGTCTCACTTGTCACCCAGGCTGGAGTGCAATGGCACGATCTCGGCTCTCTGCAACCTCTGTCATCCAGGTTCAAGTGATTCTCTTGCCTCAGCCTCCTGAGTAGCTGGGATTACATGTATAGGCCACTATGCCCAGCTAATTTTTGTATTTTTACTAGAGACGGGATTTTCCCATGTTGGCCAGGCTGGTCTCAAAAACCTGTCCTTCGGTGATCCACCCGCTTCAGCCTCCCAAAGTGCTGGATTACAGGCCTGAGCCATTGCACCCAGCCAATCACAAGTATCTTTATAGGACAGCTTTATTTTTTGCAGAACACCTACCAGAGTACTTGTCCTTCAGTAGTTATTTCTTTAGCCCATTAGTAATGAATTAAAAAGTTTTGCTAGGAAGAATGAAAGGATTAAGAGAAGTTCTACTAATTTCTGAAAGGTAATAAAACAAAATCTGATTCCTTTTTAAAGACTTTCAAAGAAATCTTTAGAACCTGCAAACCCTCCCACAAAGAAAATGTAAACACGGAAAGATGGGAGGCAATTTTACTCTATATAATCTAATATCACCGTGGCATTTCATTCAAACAAACATTGCCATGAAGTTAGGAAAATTCCTGCTGCATTCACTTGTCACATTTTTTTTCAGCAATCAAGTTGAAGAAACATTTCCACTACTTAAAAAGGTACCTCCAAATTACTTTCATATTTGTTCAGCTATCCTAATGGGATTTTTACTTAGTAAATCTGCTACTCAGGTATCTGCTATGCGTATGGATTCAAAAGACGATGATCACCTAATACGAGGGACTGAAAAAAGCAGGCTGGAACCAATGACTCAGTTATTTCAAAACACCAAGAAAATAAGTTTAGAAGACACAAATGAAAACGTTACAAGGATTGAAGGGACTGGCACAGGATCTCTTTCTGAGAAAGCCTTGGGTTCAGTAGTATACATCAAAGGAAGTGATGGACTAGAAGTGACAGATGTGGAATGAAGCAATTTGTACGTATTACCAATTTGTACCATATTGCCTTTGATTAACAGGGGGTATTGAAAGAGAACTTAACCTTATTAGGAGACCCTAACAAAATGATGGAAGACTATTGCTTTATTTTACACTATGTATGAATCATCTTACACTGCATTTTTTGATGATGCCTATTTAAAAGGCAGTTGTTTAGGGAGAAAAAGCCTTCCAAATTCAAAGCAGATTTCTCTGATATTATATCTTTCTTAAAAATGGGAGTTTTTTTTAGTAACAGTATTTGAATGGCACCAAAACATTTTCATTTGAATGTATTTCTTTAACAAGTGGTTTTTAAAAAGTGTCCAAGCAGCCAGGCACGGTGGCTCACACCTGTAATCCCAGCACTTTTGGAGGCTGAGGCGGGTGGATCACCTGAGGTCAGGAGTTCACGACCAGCCTGGCCAACATGGTGAAACCCCACCTCTACTAAAAATACAAAAAATTAGCCAGGCATGGTGGCAGGCACCTATAATCCCAGCTACTTAGGAGGCTGAGGCAGGAGAATCAGTTGAACCCGGGAGACAAAGGTTGCAGTGAGCCAAGATTGCACCATTGCACTCCAGCCTGGACAACAAGAGCGAAACTCTGTCTCAAAAAACAAACAAAAAAGTGCCAAGCAATGTGACCTCTGTTTTTCACACTATTTCTGATGTACCAGTTTTGTATATTACATTTCCATTTTGGGATTCTGTTTCAGGATACTTTACTTTCTTCATTTTGCATTTCTGTTCTGTAAAAGATCACTGCAGATAAACTGCAAAAGACCAATAAATTGCTTATCTTCGGAATCATCACACACTTTAAATTGTGTCTTTAAAACTGCTTTTTCCCCCCACATATAATCCATTTTAGAGTTAGAAAAGAGTTCTTTCCAAGTGTTAATAGTTATCTTGCACATAGTACCATTTTATGTCACCAATATTTAATATGAGAAAAACCACCTGGAGTTTAAATATCAGCTATTAAAATATCTGGTAGTTGGAAATCTCTTTAATATTCATTTTAAAAGAGGAAAGGGCATCTTTTCCAGAGGGAAGCTATATTTTATTAATCAGAAAAATACTAAACAAATGTGTTTCTAGGGAATATTAAGAGTGAAAAAAATGTTGAATGGGACATAAGCAAAAAGACAATGCTTTTTATCATCTAAGAAACATAATTCTTTGGGAGGCGGAAAAAAAATACACAAATTATTCATTTGTTCACCCAGCCTGGCACTGTGCTTGGCGCTGGAGATACGGTAGTAAATACAATAGTCACTGCCTTACAGAGTTTTGTGCCTGTCTACTAGGAAAGACAGGACATGATACAGTAGTTATCTAAGATACAAATTGTGATATGACATGAAGAAAAAGTATAGCATGCAGAGAGACAGCACACCCAAGACATACCACATAAAGCTGGGTGTTTTTGTTTTGTTTTAAGATGGTCTCACTCTGTTGCCCAGGCTGGAGGGCAGTGGAGCGATAATAGCTCACTGCAGTGTCGAATTCCTGTTTGTTTTTTTTTTTTAATTGCATTTTAGGTTTTGGGGTACATGTGCAGAACATGCAAGATAGTTGCATAGGTACACACGAATTCCTGTTCTTCAGTGGAATTCCTGCCTCAGCCTCCTAGTAGTTAGGATTGCAGGCATGTGCCACCACATCCAGCATGTTTTTCTATTTTTTTTAGAGGCAGAGCCTCACAATGTTACCCAGACTAGTCTCAAACTCTTGGCCTCAGATGATCCTCCTGCTGGGCCATAAACTTGATTTTAACTGTGGGAAATGGGAAAACGTATGTCAGGACATTTTTGAAAGCAAGTTTATTAAGGAAAGAAACAACAGAATGGCTACTCCACAGACAGAGCAGCCTCAGAGGACATTTATAGCTTTTGCAGTGACATGGTTGTCTAAGTGAATGATGGTGGTAGTCATAAAAATGGAGAGAAGGGGACAGAGTCCAGGTGAAGTTTGACAGAATGTAGTCACAGTTTGGAAGTGGAAAGTAAGGAAGAAGAAAGGGTTTCTAGCAAAAAAAAAAAAAAAAAAAAAAAAGGCTAGATGCATGCAGGATCGCTGAGGAAAAAGAGTGAGTTCAGGACCATGGTTTTTCGACTTACCAGGTTTACAAGGTAGTTGTATCTATGGAACTAAAACGTGTAAATTTTGAAGTTGTATACAGAAATGGTACTTAAAGCCATAGAATGAATGAAATTGCTTAAGGAGAATGTAGTGTGAGATAAACATCTGAGAACTACAACATTTAGGGGCTGACTAGATCAGGGTAGCTGGCAAAGGGGACTGAGGAGTTTACAGGGTAATGTCATAGTTGTCCACAGGAATCTTTCCAGATTGAGGTAGTCAAATGAACAGTTAGATGAGGACTGAAAAGTCCACTGGATCTAGCAATATGAAAGTCACCAATGACCTTAGCAAAAGCACTTTTGCTGGAATAATGGGGTAAGCCATTTTGGCGTATGTTGAAACAATGAATGGGAAGTGAAGAAGTAGATTCTGGATGTGTAGCAGTTTTTCCAAGAAGCTTGGCTCAGAAGGGTAGCAGACAGGATAAAAAGTGGAAAGAGATGGCCGGGCGTGGTGGCTCACGCCTCTAATCCCAGCACTTTTGGGAGGCCGAGGTGGGTGGATCATGAGATAAAGAGATCGAGACCATCCTGGTCAACAAGGTGAAACCCCATCTCTACTAAAAATACAAAAATTAGCTGGGCATGGTGGTGCGCTCCTGTAGTCCCAGCTACTCGGGAGGCTGAGGCAGGAGAATTGCTTGAACCCAGAAGGCGGAGGTTGCGGTGAGCCGAGATCGCGCCACTGCACTCCAGCCTGGGTAACAAGAGCGAAACTCCGTCTCAAAAAAAAAGAAAAGAAAAGTGGAAAGAGAAGTGAGGTCACTGGAGGATTGTTAAAGAGTACAACATGTTTGAATGTTTGAGTGTCACTGGAATGTTCCAGTGGAGAAGCTAAAGAAGTAGGTAAAGGTAAGAATAACCAAGGGACAGAAGTCTTGGAGCAGGGAGGAGGCATTGGGATTATTAATAAAAACCTCTTCAGCAAGAAACTAGGGGGAAAAAAAACAAAACTGTACCATCTCAGATTTCAGAGAAAGAGAATTTAGAAGGAAGTATATAAGTAAAGAGCAACAATATTCTGTGACTATTTTTTAATAATAAGGAAAATTCCTACTGCAAATTAACTCTGAACAGAATTCATTCCCACCTGCATAATATAAGTTAGACTAACTCAGAGTGACCTTGGTAAAAGGTGTAATCATAGAGAAATGAGATACCATTATGTCTTCATTGTAGCGTTATATGAAGCCCTGGTCATTTACCGAATCAGTGTCACCAAACTGAACACTTAATGATTCTTACTCCAAGAGGCAAGTCTTAGTGGTTTCTATTTTAACTGAAGGAGAGATTAGTTCCTGTGCAAGAATGAAAAAGGTGACCATAATTCTTTGGGCTTCTCTCATCAAGAGGTTAAGTCCAGTACCCCTTAACTCTGGGCTGGCTTTATTGTTGTTCTGACCAACAGAATGTGGCTGAGACCCTGCTTCCAAGATTAGGCTTGAATTGAGGTCCCTCAGCAGCCAGGCACCACCTGCCAGAGCGTGAATAAAGCTATCTTGGTCCACCTAGCATAGCCAACCTGTGTTGAATGAAGCCGCATGAATAAGCCTAAGCGAAATTAGCAGAGGAATCTCCGACCTTGCCCACAAGTTAGAGATACAGATCACTGTTTGAGGCAGTTCGTCATGTGGCAGTACTTAGCTGAAACTATAACCTTGCTACCTTGGCTACTGGGGTAATTTCTCATCTCACGGAGCCACAGGGTTTTCTTGCCAACTCATGGGAATGATGATCACTAGCCTCAGTGTGTTTTCTGATCCACTCCATCCTCTGTTGTCATCTCTATACTGCGAATACCGTTTATTCTTTCAAAACTGACTTGAATGTCCTCACGTTTCAAGTCGAGTTACCTGCAATTTTGAGTCACTTATTTGGAGGAGATAGGTAAAGACCCAGCGTAATGCCTGTATCCTCAGTAAAAAGTATTTGCTGGTACCTCTTCCTCCCCGGCCTGTGATCTGGCTGCTCTGGGCTTCTGGGGGCTCCCCCTAAACTCGCTCCACGAAATGCCCTCTCCAACCTGGCACACGCGTTCTCCTACCTTCACCCAGGGATGGCCTTTATCTCTGTGCGTCACGAGGATAACTCCCATCAGAACTGGGAACTGGGGCCTTATGATTTTCGGTACTTTTATTTGAACGTGGGCTACCTCCGTGCATGGAATACGGTTCCCGCCTTGAAGGACCCTTACTTAACACCTCTGCAGGCTGCTTGGACTCCACGACCCCGCAGACGAAGGAACCCAGCGCGATGCCTGCGCGCCCCGCTTTCTCCGGCGCTTCCGGGTGCCGGCTCTCAGGAGGTGGGACACGGTCACGCGCAAGGCCTGCCGGGTGCTCGGGATCGGAAGCGCCCGTTCCAGCTTGAGCCATCGCGAGGCCGTGAGCAAGACCGGAAACAGCCGGTGGGTGAAGCGGAAGCGCTTCTAATCGGGGTGCTGCGGCCCGTGGCGCGCGGGCGGGTGTGGGCCCTGGTGCGCGCGCGCGCGGGGTCTCTGGCGGTGGGCCAGGACCTGCAGGTCGCGTCCGCTGGTGTTGAAGGCTCTTGTCTGCACACTTTCCCCTCAGCCTTTGGGACGACCTAATTTCACTGTTAGGAACTGTTGATCCTCAACACAGGAAGAGGGACTCGCCAGCTGTGTGCACATCCCCTGAGAGCCAAAAGGGCGAAATGAAACGTGAACACGATCATAATGAGATTCTGAGTAAGTTGTATATTATCAGAGAGTGGGCAAAATAATAGGTTCTTGGCAACGTTTTAAGAAGAAGCTCTGCCTGCCTAGAAAGATAAATGAGATGGTGCTGTTTTCACTTTCAGTTCAGTGATGGGGAGGCGTGTTTGGCAGTGCACAGGTAGCGAAGTGTCCCAAGAACGTGGAAGTTAAGGAAGTCTTCTGAGGAAAAACTTTATAAAATTAGTCATTAAAGCGTGAGAGTCGAGAGATGCAAAGTGATCTTGAAGGAACAAAATTTACCCAGACCTTCAAAGGCTTGACACTATCCCGACGACTGTGAAATATCCTGAAATACTGTGGGTTTTTTTGAGACTGAGTCGCTCTGTTGCCCAGGCTGGAATGCAGTGGCTCGATCTAGGCTCACTACAACCTCCGAGTTCAAGCGATTCTTCTGCCTCAGCCTCCCGAGTAGCTGGAATTACTGGCCCCCACCACCAGGCCCAGCTAGTTTTTGTATTTTTGGTAGAGATGGGATTTCACCATGTTGGCCAGGCGAGTCTCCAACTCCTGACCTTGTGATCCGCCTCTGCTTCCCGAAGTGCTGGGATTACTGGCGTGAGCCACAGCGCCCAGTCGTCTACTTTTTTTAATAGCCCTTTTTAACAGCTTTATTCGTTTGACTCACTGATGAATGCTAAGAATGTCTGTCATGTAATTGAAGAAAACTTTGTTGAATTAATACCTTTGTTGTGTTTCATTCACACTGTATATAAATACCTGATGACTAGAGATATTTTGAGCACTATTAAAATACATGCATTGGATCAATACATGAATTGGATCAAATCTGCAGCCTTAACAAGATCGTATTTTGGCTAAAGTCAAAATCTTGGACTACAGTTAATTTATCAAGGTAAATGCCACTTTGATGTGTTTTGGTTAGGAATCCTTGTTCAATTGAGGGAATACATGTTATATGATAGGAACAGTAAGCACAGAAATAGAGATGGGAAAGGGGCAACCCTGTCATGTGTTTGCCAAACATGAATGGCTTATGCATATGAACACATTCTCTCAACCATTTGATTAGGTCTGAGGCCATCGAAGCAGCTAGAGGGTTAAACCACTTCCTAAAGTCATTCAGTTAAGTGTCAGAGCCAGGATAAAAAATGTAAGTTCTTAACTACTTTGTTATCCTGCCACACTCTGCATATGCAGACAAGAGTGAGAGCCTTAACCTTAGGAAAAGATATTTCACAAGATCTTTGACAATCTCCATATCCACAGACACCATCCAGTGTATTAGTGTACACCACTCCTATTTGTTACTTTCTCCTTTAAGGCTCCCCGCTACCTGAACTCTGGATCCCAACACTACCACTTTGCCAAGGAAACTCCCTTCTCCAGTGTTGCCCTCTCTCGACTCCCCTACCAGCATCTGAACTTGCTCAGATCTTTTGCACCTTAAATCCTCTCCTGACTCCACATTCCTTTCTAACTACTGCCCTAGCTTTTCCACTTCACAACTAGAATACATTCATTGTATCCACCTTGGGCCTCCTGTTTGCTCAGTACATATGATTCTTACCAAGATCACTGATAACCTTGATACTGTTAAGTGTAATAGATCCTTTTCAACCCTCATCTTATTCGCTCAATCTTTGGCATTTGGCGCCGTTAACCATCTTGTCTCCTTGAAACTTTCATAATAACATATTTTAAAATTTTCTCCCTTTTTTTCTATCCTCAGCTTCCTTTGGCAGCTCTCCCTCCATCTTCTGTATATCCCTTAAATGTTGCTGCTCTTCAGGGTTATGTCACAGGCCCTTAAATCTTCTCACTGAACCATCTTCCTATGGCTTCAGTTACCATCCATTGAGCTTTATGCCATTTGACTGTTCAACACAGTCAAAATGAACCAATTATCTTAACCCCATACTTCCTCTTCCCATAAAATCTGTTCTAGGAAATTTCACCTCTTTCCACCTTTTTCCCAGGCCAGAAATCAGGGCATAATATTAATAAAATAGTTAACACATATTGTGTACTTTCTTCATTGCCAGGCACTCTTCTAACCACTTTGTATGTATTAGCTCATCAGAGTCAGCCTGATAATATGAGATGAATACTGTCATTATCCATATATTAAATAACACATCTGAGGCACAGAAAAGTAATCTGCCTTAGGTCATTCAACTGACAAAGGATAGAGTTGGGATTTCAATAAAGGCAGTCTGGTTTGAGCTTGTAATCATTATATCATAAAGGACATGATCCTTGACTTCTCTTTCTCTTAGCCCAATTCAACCAATGACCAAGTATTGTATATTCTCCATGCTTAAATCTCTGGGAAACATCTCTGAAGTATAAATCCAATCTTCCATTTGTTTAAAATTTTAGCACGTGGCTAAGCCCTCATGCCTGTAATCCCAGCCCTTTGGGATGCCAAGGGGGAGGGCTATTTGAGCCCAGGAGTTTGAGACCAGCCTGGACAACAAAGTGAGACTTCATCTCTACCAGATAAAAAAAAAAAGCCAGGCATGGTGGCACATGCTGGGTAAGGTGGGAGGATTGCTTGAAGCCAGGAGGTCGACTTTAGTCTGGGCAAAAGCGTGAAACAAAAAACAAAACTTCAACACCTCCCCCATGATTCTCAGGGTAAAATTCAAGCATTTAACGTGGATTTAAGGCTCTTTATAATCTTCTTTTGCCTTGTTTTTAACTCCCCATTCTTGTATTCCTAAGTAAGAGCAAGTAGAATTAAATTACTTGCATGGGTCCTATCTCCTTTTCCGCTAAGTATTACACATTGTTAGAATTCTTTACCCATTTATGTCTCAGCTTCAATGTCACATCCAGACATTAGAGCGTTAGATGGCCCCTAATGTACTTAACACCTATCACAGCATTTTGGACACTGTATTTTAATTATTGCCTTACTTGTTTTTTAGTATCTTCCACTAGATTGTGGAGATATTTGTTTCTTGAAGGCAAGGACCAGTTCACCTTCTTAATATCACTCATATCCATCCCCCTTCCTCCCTCCCTCCCTCCCTCCTTCCCTCCTCTGTCTCTCTCTCTCTCTCTCTCTCCCCCCCTGCTGTACTTTAGGCCCCCATTATCTCTAGCTTGGACAACTGCCTTAGTCTGTTAACTGTTCTTCCTGTCCCTAGTCCATCCTTTCTTTAATCCATGTTCAGCCCTGCAGAGGCAGATTTGTATAATGGCTGACTGAACAATTCCTGCTTAAAACTGCAGTGGAGCTTAGCTGCCTTTTAAAAAGTCCAAATAGTGTAGTTATTTACATGAATTGATCTCCCATTTTCTCTCTCCTTATTTCCTTGTACCAAGTAGGCACTCCATAAATATTTGTTGAATGAATGTGGTACTGTATCAAAGTCAATCAAACAGAACCAAGAACAAAGAGGTTAACCAAAGTAATGCAGTCTCCATGCAGAGGCTTCCTGGGACAGTATAGCCACAGGCTTTAGTGGAACTCGAAGACTAGTAGTGGAACTCTTTATCTTAGGAGGGAATCCCCAAAACCTTACTATTAGATGACTCTTGGTCTTTGCCTATGCCTGGAATCTGCTCCTCCCACTGCACTCCAGCCTGGGCAACAAGAGTGAAACTCCATCTCAAAAAAAAAAAGAAGATATGCGTAATGTGGCTGAGTGCAGTGCCTAACGCCTGTAATCCCAGCACTTTGGAGGCCAAGGTAGGAGGATCACTTGAGCCCAGGAGTTCAAGATCAGCCTGGACAACATGGTGAAATCCTGTCTCTAAGAGAAAAAATATATATATATTACGTAATATATTTGCAGCAGACTTACTGTTTGAAAACTGTGAAACTATTTCAACTGAAATTATTTGAAATTTGTCTTTATTTGTTTATTTTGAATACTCGGTTATAGCATTGTTAAAGACTAACTATAAAACTAAAAGCCAAAAGCAACTGCACTGGATACTTAGAGATAAGTTTGGATTGAATAACCAATAATTGATAGCTAGAAGATAGAATTTAATGTTCCTTTTTTCGATGAATTAATTTGTTTGTCTTCCATTTTTAAAAGCATGCTGATCCCATATTCAATGAAGAATTGCTTCCAGTTACTTTATAACCGCCAGGTCCCAACAGCTGGTTTTAAAAAAAAAGTAAAAAATGGACTCATTATACATTCAGTTTCCAATGATGTCTATCAAAATCTGGCTGCAGAAGACTGGATCCATGACCATATGAACCTAGAAGACAAACCAATTCTATTCTTTTGGCGGAATTCTCCCTCTGTTGTAATTGGTAGGCATCAAAATCCTTGGCAGGAATGTAACCTGAATCTAATAAGAGAAGAAGGTATAAAATTGGCTCGGAGAAGAAGTGGAGGAGGAGCAGTCTACCATGATATGGGTAATATCAATTTGACTTTCTTTACAACCAAAAAAAAGTATGATAGAATGGAAAATCTGAAACTAATTGTGAGAGCTCTGAATGCTGTCCAACCTCAGCTGGATGTGCAGGCTACCAAAAGGTTTGACCTTTTACTTGATGGACAGTTTAAAATCTCGGGAACAGCTTCTAAGATTGGTCGGACTACTGCCTATCACCATTGCACTTTATTATGTAGTACTGATGGGACGTTCTTGTCTTCTTTGCTAAAGAGCCCTTACCAAGGGATCAGGAGCAATGCCACTGCTAGCATACCTTCCTTAGTGAAAAATCTTTTGGAAAAGGATCCCACTCTGACCTGTGAAGTACTAATGAATGCTGTCGCTAAAGAGTATGCTGCTTATCATCAAACTGATAATCACATTCACCTAATAAACCCAACGGATGAGACACTGTTTCCTGGGATAAATAGCAAAGCCAAGGAACTACAAACCTGGGAGTGGATATACGGCAAAACTCCAAAGTTTAATATAAATACTTCCTTTAATGTGTTATATGAGCAGTCACACTTGAACATTAAAGTATTCATAGACATAAAGAATGGAAGAATTGAAATCTGTAATATTGAAGCACCTGATCATTGGTTGCCATTAGAAATACTTGACAAATTAAATTCAAGTCTTGTTGGCAGTAAGTTTTGTCCATCTGAAACTACCATGCTAACAAATATATTACTTAGAACATGTCCACAAGACCACAAACTACACAGTAAATGGAATATTCTCTGTGAAAAAATTAAAGGAATAATGTGATTCCAAGTAAATTTCTTAATACAGTTAAGTTAGAAAATAAAATGTCTCATACATACACATTGTTATGTCTCTTAAAAAAAAAAAGAAAGCCTAGTCTCTCAGTAACTTCTCTCCATCTGAAATTATTTATAACCTATCTCTGTCTCTGTATTTCTTTTGATCTCTAGGATCCTCTTTCTTCTTTCTTTTTTCATTGATTTTATTTTATTTATTTTGAGACGGAGTCTCACTGTCACCCAGGCTGGAGTACAATGGTGCAATCTTGGCCCACTGCAACCTTTATCTCCTGAGTTCAAATGAGTCTCATGCCTCAGCCTCCTGAGTAGTTGGGACTACAGGCTTGTGCCACCACACCCAACTAATTTTTTTATATTTTTTAGTAGAGATAGGGTTTCCCTGTATTGGCCAGGCTGCTCTCAAACTCCTGGCCTCAAATGATCTGACAGCCTCAGCAAGTGTTGGGATTACAGGCATGAACCACCATGCTGTCTGTTCATTGATTTTAATATCTGGCACATATTTATATTTTTTGAGACAAAGTCTCACTCTGTCACCTAGGCTGGAGTGCAGAAATGTGATCTCAGCTCATCGCAACCTCTACCTCCCAGGTTCAAGTGATCTTCCCACCTCAGCCTCCTAAGTAGCTAGGACTACAGGCCTGCACCACCATGCCCGGCTGATTTTTGTATTTTGAGTAAAGATGGGTTTTACTATGTTGGTCAGGCTGTTCTTGAACTTCTGACCTCAGGTGATCTGCCTGCCTCAGCTTCCCAAAGTGCTAGGATTACAGGCGTGAGCCACTGCACTCGGCCTTTATGTCTAGATTTCTTATTTGAGATGGATGGGAGTATACATGGGGAGTAGGGATGTATATAAAAAAGTTCAACTGGGGTGTATTATATTTGAAATGTTTGTGTGCTTCTGAGATGTCATATAGGCAGTTGAACTCCAAGGAGAAGTCTTGGCTTAATTTGTAAATCTGAGGGCTGACGGCATATAAAAAGTATTTGAAGTCATGAGAATAAATAATTTTGGACTTTCATAATCTAAAGTTTAATTTTAAACTAAATATTCAGCAAGAGTCCCCTTATATGTTTGGGGACTTCTCTACCTTATAAGACCTTGTAGGAGGTAGAGCCTATTTCCTTCCATGGAAACAAAAGATTACTATACTCTTTCCTGGCCTTGCTTGAAGCACAGGTGTGGGCACAAATGACTTACTCTGCCAATCAGATGCACCTGCTCCATACTTTGAATTAGACACTAATGATGCAGAAAATCTGGAATGATAAGAACCCTTCTCTGCAAGTAGCGACAGGAGCCTGAATTTCTGGGGTAACAAAGGCAATGAGGCTGGCAGTGGTAGTGTCTGTGCCCGTGATGTCAGTGATGTAGACTGCTGCATCCAGCCCTTGCATCAGTGTCAGCAGGGGTGTCATCTGATCTATTCTGGGTAGTGATTCTAGATGTGATTTTTCACTGCAAAACCTCTATGTCTCAGTCTATAGCTCAACTACCTACTATTCTTATAATAAATCCCTTTTTTGCTTATATCAGGTAGGAACAGTTTTTGTTGCTTTTTCTAGGAACACTTACTGTGTAATCACTTAGGGAAAGAGTGTGAATTAAAAAGAAAGAAAAAAAGAGGTTACTACCTAATACCTAGCTTGGGAGAACTTCAGTATTTAAAAGGTAAGAAGAATGGAGGGAGAAAGTATGTTTCATGAAAGTCAGGAGTTTCAAGAAGGGAGTAGCCAACTGGGTCAAATGCTTCTTAAAGGTCACATAATACAAAAAATTAAAAGTGCCCATTGGATATGATGGTATAGAGATCACTGTTGACCTTAGCAAAAATGATTTCAGTGGAGTGATTGGGGCGGTAGACAGACTGAAGTGAGTTAAAGTGAATAGGTGGTAAGGAAATTAAAAAAATAAAAAACGCATACAGAGAGCACTCTTTCAAGAAGTTCATTCATGAAGAACGAAAAAATAGGGTGGTATCTGGCTCAAGATGTGTGTACTGATAGAAATGATGCAGTACAGCAGGAGAGATCGCTCTAAGGACCAAGTCTTTGTGGGAGGCTAAACGAGGTCAGGTCAAGGTCACTGCCAAAAATGTGGCCACCATCCTTATATATTAGGAATACTGACTCTTTCTGATTTTACAATTTGATCTCTCATTTTTTTTTAACTTAGTTTATGGTTCCTTTCACTCAAGTTTTATATATTTACATGATCAAGTCTTTTGCTCTTTCCTTAATAGTTCTGGGGATTTCTGTTATACTCAGTTCATTAAGTGGGATTTTAATATGTATATATTACACTAATTAGCTCTATAATACATTTAGAATTATTTCTTTATATGTCAACATCATTATAGAAAAATTTCTGTATGTGGAGTGAGATTGAGGACTTAGTTATTTTTTCCAACCATTTAATATCTCCACTAATTTGAAATGTCACCTTTATTATATATTAAATATCCATTCATACACATTTACGTTCTCTCTTTCAAATGTGTTTCTGGATTCTTTTATTCTATCCCACTGATTTATTTGCCCATGCCTATGCCCATACATTTTTAAGAAAATTCTTGTAGCTGTGTCTTTACAGCTGGTCAAGCAAGCCTCCTAGTGTTAGTGTCTTTTGTCATTTAATTTATAAATTAAGTTAGAGAGAACTGACATTAAGTCTTCCCATTCAGAAATACAATTTATCTTTCTAGTTACCCTAATTTTCTTTTATATCCTTCCATAAAGCTTATAGTTGTTCATACAGTTCTTATACATTTCTTGATATATTTAAACTGCACCTGGTAGGTTTCTGGTGCTCTAATTAGATCTGGGGATAGAACTCCAAATATCTAGAACAGATAGCATATCTGTAGACTCTTTTCTTTAAATATCACTGTCTTAGCCAGGACTTTTATAGGAGTTGGATAAAAGTTAATTATACGGGGTTGTGGATTGCTAATTCTCCATAGTAACAGATTCATATGCTTTAGATCAGAATTGTTATTTCAACATGAAGGTAAAGAGGCCTAACACTTGTTCTCACCTTAATTAATAGCTACTCCATTTCCACATGGCATTGGGTACCAGGCAAGATAAGCTAAGATACTCCACAGAAAGGAACTTTGGATCAGGCCAACACTTGTTCAAGTGTTTTCCTGAGACCCTGAATTTCCATATGATAAAGCTTAGCAAGAAACTAAAACTTTTCAGATTCAGTATTATCAGCACCTAAACCTGAAAACATAAAAACACAAAATCAGGAACTGTTCTGGAAGCCCTTCCTATCCTTTCATGCCAGCTCTCTCTTGTACCTACCAGCTGTCCCACAAAAGCAAAACAGTGTCCAAGGCTTGCACAAGACCACTCTGTCCAACCTTATTCTCATGGTCTCTATCTTTGGTCCTCCACACTGTTTAACTCTGCTGAATAGTCCTCAGATGTGACATTTATATGTGCATTCTCCAATACCGAACACTGGTACTGTAATTTTCCTCTTACATATGGTTAACTTAGCTTTTTCTTTAAGCTGTGGACTGCCCACTATCTCTAGGATACATCCCCTCTTCCAGCTTGTCTCCATGGAATCTAATCTGTCTCCAACCACACAACTGGCATCTGGATGAAAAGCTTATCCAGAACAGTTGATTCTCCACCACAGGGCTTTAAAAATGTGCCAGCCAAAGTGAGTAAGCTGCGAAATACATTTAGATAACTGAATGGGTTGATTTGCCTTTATGGAGGGTAACTGCAAGATGGTAACTGTTTACTAAAGACAATTATCTTAGTTGTAACAAAATTAACATTTTATTTTTTTCCTGTTTATTAGACCCCAAGCCCATCTGGTTTTTTTTTTATTTGTTTGTTTGATTCTGTTTTTTTCCTTTTTCTTTTTTGAGACAGGGTCTGGCTCTATCACCCAGGCTAGAGTGTAGTGGTGTAATCTCAGCTTGCTGCAGCCTCAACCTCCTAGGTTCAAGTGATCCTTCCGCCTCAGCCTTCCAAGTAGCTGAGACACAGTTTGATTTTTTTTTGCAGAAACAGGTTGCCCAGGCTCCATTTGTCTCTTTAAAAGCACCCTAATACATGGTATCTTTCCCTCCTGGACTCAAAACTCCCATAGGCAAAGTTAAGAACTAATTTATCTTCCTAATAGTTGCTCATAATTTGTTGACATGATCCCACAGCCAAATAACAGAAAAGCTGGTAAAATGTTTAAATTAGCTGTACTACTTGAAAGAAACATTGTAAATCTACTGAGTAATCTATTTACAAAAATATTTAGGATTGTTCCCACAACTGAACAATGGATTTATAAATTAGTAGAAATATAAAAGTTTATTGTTAAATTCATACTTTATAAAGTGATCTGTTAAAAAAAATCCAATATTTACTTAAAGTAGAAATAATATAAATTAGGCTACTGCCCATCATATATTTTTTGTATGCTTCTTATGAAAAATGTCCACCGTTGTTTCATGACATGGTCTTAAATCAAAATCACAATATCCAAGAGAAAAACGACTCTAAGAGAAGAAAAGAGTATCGTTAAAAATGATACAAAACAGTGCTACACATTTACTCATAAGATTAAATCCTACCTGTGGTTTCTTAAAATAATCAAGCCCCCTTCCAATCTTAATCATCCATCCATTGTTGAACCTGTTGAAATTAGTATATAGCATTATATTCAAGACATTTAAGCAAGACTATTAATAAAGCTGCGGTGTATTAACAGTCAGCAAAATTCCCCCTAACAAAGTAAACCACTTCCTCCAGTGGCATGAATTGAATCAAAGCTGGGGTTCATTATGAGCTGTGTTCACAATGAAAACAAGTCATAGAAACAATCAGTTGATTTAATTATGTGACAGTTTAACAATTAAAATTTAATCTTGAATTTCAGCTTGTTGACAAAACTTTTTCATGTTCTGCTAACAAGTGGTGGCAAAGTGTATTCAGTGAAACTGGTGGTGTTTCAAGAGTTCCCGCACCTAGAGACGGGGAATGTGCAGGAGGAGCTCTGGACCCTGACCTCTGCTATAGCAGCTGCATTTTCATCTGTTTTGCTTACTTAGTTTGTGATTTTTTAAATTAAAACTGAGTTCCCTTGCTATAAACATATATCCACTGTGCTAAACAAAAGGAAGACATCGCTAAAATAACTGCATATACTGTTTTTTATAGACTCAAATTGTCATGCCTACTAGAATATTTAATAACCTATAAAAAGTAAAACCACATTAAGTAAAAAATATTAAGTTCACTAAAAAATAAATTATCCTAATATCATAACACTATATATACAGTTGAGTAGACAGAAAACTATTCTCTTTCTACACGACACAGAACATGTAAATATTATTCCATTAGGAAATATTAAACTCACACACAAAATACTTGGCTTAGTTTTGGACAAAGTAAAGCAACTGTTTTTTTTCTTCTCAAGAGTGAAAAATTACTAAATGGAGTTTTATTTAAATTTAAAATATTTATAAATAAATATTAAATATTTATATGAAATTATATAAAACATTAAGAGACATTTTAAAAGTATATATCAAAGACTGAATGAATAAAAATTAAAACATTATTGTAGACTAACCTAATTTCTCGGTCATGTATTGAAGAAGAGTATTGTACTTCCAGCAGCACTCCATGACTTCTGAGTGACTCTTCTATTTCTTTCAGGCCCCTACTTTGCTGCACTTGCTCACTGCCCTGTTAATAACAAAATTACGATTATCTGCCTCAGTTATTATTGATATCTTAAATTATCCCTAAGCTATACAATGAATATCATAGGTGGATTAAGATGGAAATGTTCTACACTAGTTTCAATCTCTATTATCTCAAAGAAGCAACCAATGTGAGATAGTTTAAAGAGCAACTGTTTTTATCAAGATGATTGTTTTTTTTTTTTTTTTCTAATGTGAATGTAACTCCATCCTGTCTCCTTAAATGTAGTTTAGAATAGTTTGTCATCCAGGTGGAGCAGGCTTCTTTGGAAATCAATCATAGAAATCATAATTATTTAGAAGCATTCCTATTTTAAGTCAAAACCAAGATAGAGATGGCCACTACTATATTGTGCTACCATCCCCCAGATAAAATAATTGGTAAAGAAACAAAATTATCCGTAGTGCAGACAGTGCAACTGCCTCCTAGAACACTCAAGAGACTAAACTAACAAACTATTTGAATAAGAGCATTTAGCAAAGTGGCCAAATACAAAATCAGCATCCTAAAATCAATAACTTTTTTTTCATGACATGCTATGCATACTGTTAGATAATAAATTAATTCCCAAGGAAATAAACTGTATCTGTGTTTTCCTTGACTGAACTACATCTTGTAAGTGAATAGTTATTAAGAAAGAGTAAGTGCTTTCAGATACCTACTTCATCCAGAGAGGTGAGAAGGTGAATAGTTTTTACTTTACATGGTCTCTTCATAAGCATCTCACAAAATCGAAGAAAGTTATACAGCTAAAAGACATTAGAATGAATTGTTACTAACTTAGTACATTGACATTAATATTTCACTATATTTTAGTACATTCACATACCTGATGAGTATGTCTAATATAAGGATCTTCTATCCAAACTTCTGTAACTGTCTCATTAAGGTATTCGCGAAAAAGTGACCCATAACTGAAACCTGTTGCATTCTCTTCTATTTTAATTTGCTTGTGATATTTTCCATCTATAAAACACAAGCTTCAACAATAAAACCAGTGACCATTTTTTACACATTTTGTATTTTATATATAGTGATTAATCAGCATCAGATACATATTAATTTTTTAATTTATTCATTGAGCAAATATTTATCAAATGCCTACTAAATATCATACACATTGCAGGATGTTACATGCAAAGGTATTTAAGGCAAACCACTGCATTAGTGATTTCTGCCTTCACAGAGGCTAGGCAATGGGGAAAATCCAATGAGGTTTCCTAGAACAGGTCCTTGAGCCAGATCCTATAGACCAGGCACTTTGTTGAAGGGAGTAGTGCATGCATAAAGGTATCTGATAACTTCCTGTCACCATGGGTAGCACCACATGCTATATAACTCAGTAGCGATCTGGCCCTTCTCTTCAGACTTGTTTTTTTATGTCTTGCAATCTAATTACTGAAGTGAATAATACACATGAATGCAGGGCCAGGCACAGTGGCTCACGCCTGTAATTCCAACATTTTTGGAGGCCAAGGTGGGTAGATCATTTGAGGTCAGGAGTTTTGAGTCCAGCCTGGCCAACATGGTGAAACCCCACCTCTACTAAAAATACAAAAATTAGTCGGGCGTGTTGCCGAGCACCTGTAGTCCCAGGTACTTGGGAGGCTAAGGCAGGAGAATCACTTGAACCTGAGAGGTGGAGGTTCCAGTGAGCTAAGATTGCGCCACTGCACTCCAGCCTGGGTAACAGAGTGAGACTATGCCTCAAAAAAAAAAAAAAAAAAAGAAAGAAAACATGAATACAGTATAATATGGAGCTCTGAAGTCTTTCTTGGCACATGTAGAGTTTTAAACAGAAATTTATAGTACTTCTTAATAACCCAAGCTAAAGACTGGGATGTCACAGGGTGAATAGAATAGATCTATTGCTTTTGTTAATTCAAAATGAATACTGAATAAGTTATCAGAAACCTTTAAGGTCTTAAAAAAATATGACCCCTAATGGTAGTCCCTAAATTATATGGTATCCCTAAATTATACTACACACTTTGTTTAAAAATCAGTAGTTTGGATTCTGTTCCAAATAGTTCCACAGAGATAATGTTGGCAACAATGCCTTATTTTTTAAGCTAAGCTAGCCACACAGAGGTTAATTTAATTCCATGTATTCACACCACAATGCTGATGGTACTATATTTCATCAATGTTTTGGAGTAAAATTTCATTCTATATTTCAAATTGGAGTGAAGGAAACATAATGTTATTCCCATGGAACAAAAGAGCTCAGTGGGGGTCCCCAGGGCATGTATTGATAGAGAATAGTGGGAAGAGAGGGGAAAAGGGGTGTAGAAAGTATAGAGAAGAACAGCTAGGGCCTGGGAGCACTGGCTTTTGAGGGCAGCAGTACCTTTGGCCATAGACAAGCAGCAGTAGTGTGCACTCAGGTAAGAGTGGAAATGGCCATTTACAGACATTTGTAAACTGGATGCTTAGGAGAGTAGGGAACTAATAATCAATAGGGAACAATACCTACCTCACCTCTAATCATTAGGAATACTTAACTCTTGAGGTGTTTTGATTCACAACAAAATCTGAGAGAAATCCCAAGAGTTTCTTTAGCTTCTTTCATGATTTTGTTCATTTCATATAGGGAAATATAAATAAAATACACAATTTATATTCAGTATTCCTCTGTAGTATTTCTTAACATAGGGTACACATAAGCATCACAGGGATCTGTGAACTTAAAAATGGCATGTAACATTCTGCAGTATGTATAGCTTTCATCAAACATTCAAAGGGGTTCTGACATCCCGCCCTCAAGAAAAAAAAAAAAAAAAGATTAAAAACAACTCCTGTATGGGAGTGGAAGGGCAGAGTAAATCCTGTAAGCTCCCAGGGACAACTGGTCCAGACCACACAGAGCTCCAAAGGGCAGGAGCCAGAAACACTCGGTGAATGGACCGACGGTCACTGTAGTTTATGGACGTGTTTTCTAAAACAGCCTCTTTACCCTCTTTTTCTTGGTCCAAGTACTTCTTTATGTTTTCTGCTCTGTCCATGTATTTGGAAATTCTTTCTCTGAGATTACATCTCTTAGTATTATCTTTGGTACCTGTAAGTTAAAAATATATATATTATCAGGTATCAAAACAGTTTTTCTGTTTAATTCAGGCATTATTTTCAGTTTCTCAAGTTTTCTACAAATTGCCTATCCTTTAGTATGGTTTGCCAGTCAAATACACACAGTAAGTTCAAATTTGTCTTGAACATACAAGACCTTCATTTTTACACTAAGCATGCGATGTAGCTTAGTTTAGGAGTGGGAACTCCTGACACTGTGTCTCATTTCTGGGACACCAAATCTGTTGGGATTAGAAGTGGCTTATTACATGTTAAATTCATGTCTGAGCACTATTTTATCCTAATTACCCACAAGTTTGAAGTTTTAGCATAACTAAAAGATAGCAAAGAATATTTATCTTCCACAAAACCGGCTTTTCTTCCAGACCTCCCCATTATAATTAATGCAGTCATTTTTCCAGCTACCCCAAAAGTGTTATTTTTGAATACACATGATCATAAAGTTTTACCCCAACTCCTCCTTCCAAATCAGTCACCAAATCACTTCTTGTTCCTTCCCTTCCTTTCGACATCGCTTATATTTTCCACAATAATTTCATTTTAATTTCTCATTTTAAAAAGCATTTCGAGTTAATGTTACATTTACAGAAAAGTTGCAAAAATGGCACAGATAACTTCCTTCACCTAGATTCCCCTAATGTTAACATATTACAAACCATAATATAAGTATCAGAGCTAGGAAATTAACACTGATACAATACTATGAACTCGTCTACAAACCTTATCTGAATTTCACCAATTTTCCCATTAATGAAAGTTTGTTTTCTGGTCCAGGATCTCACATTGCATTTAGTTTTGTCTCCTTAGTCTCCTCCAAGCTGTGATAGTTCCTTAATCTTTCTCTGCTGTCTATGACCTTGACCTTTAAGAATAATATTGGTCAGTTATTTTTGTAAAACATCTCTCATTTTGGATGGTCTGATGTTTTCTCATGATTAGACTTGGTTTATGCATTTTTGGTAAGAAAATCACAGAAGTGATGTGCCTTGCTCAGTGGGTACATGATGTTGATATGTCTTACTACTGAGGACATTAACTTTGACCACTTAGTAAAGGTATAGTTCAGATTTCTCCACTGTAAAATCACTATTTTCTTTTTTGTAATTTGTAAGTACCTTATAGAAAGATATCCTGCTTCTTATTACTCTTTCTCCCACTAATTTTAACATTTATTGATGGTCCTTGCCTGCAACAACTATGACTGTGATGTTTGCAAAATGGTGGTTTTCTATTTCTATCATTCCTTCTCAATCTGTTTATTCAACTAAAGAGTATGGGCTCATGAATATTCATTTTATTCTATGAGTCATAATCCAATAATACATTTTCCTGCTCAAATTGTATCAGCTTTGGCTTTGATATCTCCTTCATGTTGGTTCCTGTGTCCTTTTGTCAAAATCCCATTGCTATTGAGTATGTCCTTACATTTTGATGCAAGATTTTTTTGTTTTTATTTTGTTTTGTTGAGATAGGGTCTGGCTCTGTCGCCCAGGCTGGAGTACAGTGGCGTGATCTCGGCTCACTGCAACTTCTGCCTTCCAAGCACAAGGAATCCTCCCACCTCAGCCTCCCAAGTAGCTGAGACTACAGGCACACACTACCATGCCTGGGTAATTTTTGTATTTCTTTTCTATTTCCTGTAGAGACAGAGTATCATCATGTTGCCCAGGCTGGTCTCTAACTCCTGGGCTCAGGCAATCCACCTGCCTTGGCCTCCCAAAGTGCTGGGATTACAGGCATGAGCCACCATGCACAGCCACAAGATATTTTAAACCAAACTTGTTCAACCCTTGCATGCGGCCCAGGACAGCTTTGAACAAGGCCCAACACAAATTCGTAAACTCTATGAAAACATGAGGGTGTGTGTGTGTGTGTGTGTGTTAGCTCATCAGCTGTCATTTGTGTTAGTGTATGTTATATGTAGCCCACAACAATTCTTTTTCCAATGTGGCCCAAGGAAGCCAAAAGATTTGTTAAAACTCATCTTGTTTATTTTTTCCCCCAACCCTGAAATATACTTTTCCAAGCAGCCTCAGTCACATTTATTGAAGAGTGGTATTGAGAAACCAAAATCTGAGTGCCAGGTGTGTTCATTGCTACTGGGGAAGTCCCACCACTACTCCTAGACCCTCTCAGTCAATACAGCTAGGAAGTATATGTAGGCTTACTCATACATACATCTATATTTGTTTCTGTCCATCTGTATAAATATTAAAAACCATAAGTTCATGCTGATAACTTTGATTCCACAGAGCTCATTCTAGCTTTCCCTAATCCCTCTCCTGCCCAAATAAAAGCAAAATACAACCTTTCCTCAACCTTGCTAGGCTTTAAACTATGTAGTAGTCTTAGTCATTGTCCTTATCAGCTGGCAATGTCTCACGCATATACCCATCCTTCAATCATTATGCCACATTTTCTCAGGCTTGGAACCTTACAGCCATCTTTGATTCCCATTAACCTTACTCCCATATCTAATCATATGCCAGTGCCCCCTCCTTATCTTAATATTGGTATCATCTCTCTGGTTCAATCAGGCCTTTATCACATCTCATCTTTTTTTTAAAAAGTTTTATGTAATTTTAATTGGCACATGATAATTATACATATTAATGGGGTACGATGTGATATTTTGATACATGTAAACATTGTGTAATGATCAAATCAGGGTAATTAGCGTTTCTATTATCTCAAATATTTACTGTTTCTTTGTGGTAAGAACACTGAAAATCATTCTAGCTATGTTGAAACATACAACACATTATTAACTATAGTCACCCTATTGTCTAATAGGACACGAGAATTTATTCCTCCTATTTAACTAATTTTTTTTTTAGAGAGAGACAGGGTTTCACCATGTTAGCCAGGCTGGTCTCAAACTCCTGACCTCAAGTAATCTACCCACTTCAGCCTCCTAAAGTACTGGGATTACAGGTGTGAACCACTGTACCTGGCCTCTAACTGTAATTTTATACCCTTTGACCAACCTCTCCCCATTCCTCTTACCCCCCCAACCCTTCACAGCTTCTGGTAACCATTATTCTACTCTCTACTTCTATGATATCAACTTTTTTAGATTCCACATATGAGTGAGATCATATGGCATTAGTCTTTCTGTGTCTGGTTTGTTTCACTTAACAATTTCCTACAAGTTCATCCATATCTCAAATTACAGGATTTCATTTTATATAGCTGAACAGTATTCCACTATGTATATGTACCACATTTTCTTTATCCATTCATCTGTTGATGGACACTTGGGTTGATTCCACATATTGGCTATTACGAATAGTGCTGTAGTAAACATGGGAGTACAAATATCTCCTTGACATAATGATTTCATTTCCTTTGGATATATACCCAGTAATGGGATTGATAGTAGTTCTCTTTTTAGTTTTTTGAGGAATCTCCATACATTTTCTATATTGGCTATACTCACCTCTTATTTTGATCCCAGCAGGAGCTCCTTAATTGATCTGCTTAACTTCAGTCTCTACAGGTTAATGTCTACTTTACATCCTTGCCATATTCAGTCCTTTATTCAAGAAATACTTATTGAGAACTAACAACATGTCAAGCATTGTTCTAAGTGCTGCAGATACAGCAGTTAATAAAACAGACACAATTGTTTTCTATTGTTCAAGTAGGAAGAAAGAGAACAATAAAAATAAATTGATGAAACATGTATATTAGATTGAAATAAGTGCTATTATATAAAGTAATGAAAGATGTCAGGGAGTGCTGGGATGGGGTTATAATTTTACACTGGAGATCTGGAAAGGCTTCACAAAGAAGGTGATATTTGTGTAAAGGCCTGAAGTAGGAGAGAGAGTATGTCATGCAAATATTTGTGAGAAAGAGCATATTCCTGAAAGAGACCAGCCCTGAAAGGCAACTCCAATTACGTTACTCCTGTGTAAAAACCTTAAATGGTTTCTCCTTACCTGTGGAATAAGTTAAAATCTCCTGGTAGTCAAGGCCATCCACAATGGGACCCAAGCCCTTACCTACCTTTAAACTTTACTTCTCATTCTTCCTCTTCAGACACATGCTCAACCAAACTTAACTACTTATTTGGTAAGACAGGCAGAATTTGAAGACTCTTAGATGAATTTCTGACTTCTGAAATTCTTCTTCCTCCAAAGCCCCAATCAAACTCCACCTCTACCTTTCCACCCTCACATGACCTTTAACTGTTTAAATCCTCATTGCACTTACCTATAGATATCTCTCTCCTGGCACTTATGTATTAGCGCTATTTGCATTTTGGGTCTTAACCTATCTATGTCATGTCACTGTCTCTGTAACCTCTATAGGACCAGTGAAGCACACTGGAGCAGAACTGATTCTCCTGCTTGAGATTCCTAGAGCAGCCAAAACTTGAGCAGTGTTCTGCCTGACCAACACAGTACACCATCTCTCTTTGGGGATTCAGTATACCAGTCATTGAGGCCTTGGGCTCCAACTAAGACTCTACCACCTGCTCCAACTGTGACTCTACCACCTCCTAGTGGCAGAACTTGAAAGCTTAAAATACTTTTTATGCTGTAAAATGAGAATACCATCAACTCCTACTTGATAGGGCAGTTGGTACGGATGAAATGAGATCCTGCTTTTAATGTTCTCTGCAATGCCTAGCACTTAGCACTGAAATGTGATACCTACGCTTATTGCTGTTGTCATCATTATCATCAAATAATGCCCCAGGCAACGTTTATAGTACTGACTAAAGCACCAAACCATGAAGGACTCCCTCTGCTGCCTCAAAGCTTCTGTAACACTTTAATTATAACAAGCTTAAACTAGAAAGCACAGAGGAAGTGATCTTAGTCCAGACCAGGAGTGCCAGGGCGTCTTATCAATTTAATACATTAATACTGAGCATCTACTGTGAGCCAAGGTTGTACTGGATGTTAAGGATGTTTGGGTATTTCTCAACACTGAATAACTACATATCAGGAAAAGTCTCAG